CTATAAGATTACCGAACCACTATAAATCTCTGTCTCTTTTATTTTCATCTTTTATGTGCTTCATATTGTTGTGGATTATATCTGCTGGTTATATGTTGCTGTTATCTGCTGTTGAATCTGATTTTGCTTCCAATTGGTTCTGTGATTTGGTCTCTTGAGTTGTAACATATCTTATGTGCAATATCATAGAAATAGTCAGAGAACAATAAAATAACAGTGGATGTAGGATTTGCTTTAAGCATTCGAACTACTATAAAAATCTCTCTTGTCGGTCTATCATTTATGTTTCTGCAACATATATAATCTCAGCTCCATATTCAAATCTTATGGATTCATCATGTGTAATTTCTAAGACTCTCTTAACACTTTGCACGTGCGAGTCATTGGTGTCCAAAATCAAGCATCAACAGGTAGTTTACCCAGATGTCTTTTGTTTGAATCCCATAAAGTGTTATTTGGTGCATTAGGCTTCCGCGGTATTAAATGAATCTCGAAGATTAGTTAAGATACGTGCAAACTGGTTTGATAAAGATTCTATAGTATCTCTCGCCGAACTTGTTCTTTTCGGAAATATCCAACGTTTGTTATGCCATGGCTGCCTCGTCTCCTTGGACAGTGGACTTTTAATCCATAATAAAATATGTAAAACCAACAAGTTCTTCGTAAACACAGGCTCTGGTGAAGAGATTCTCCAAGAGGATAAGAATTTAAGTTGTGTGCATTGAAACAATTGTCTTTCTAATGTTACTGTCAAGGGACAAAGAGACTCAGCCAAGTTCTTCTTCATTATACAAGAAGGAATCACTTGAATCTATGAAGACTGAAAATGACTTCTGTCCAATCGCAAGCTCTGAATTTATCTGTTTCTTACCATACCACCATTGGAGTTATCATCACCATTGTCTTGTCTAACTAGGATTCCAACTTGTTTTTGGCTAAAAGGGTATTAGCCTTTGCTTAATAAAATGAAGGATAAGCCAAAAAGAACGTCTCCTTGACATAGACTAATATAAAAATTACCTATATAAGTAGTTTGACAATTCGCGTGGGACTCTTGGATATGTTATTTAAGAAGTTTTAAGTTCGAATCCCTATGATTACTAATAAGAAATCGTTTCGTTTACCGGATCGTTAACTTCAAGACTTTAAAAGACTAATTGAGGTGCATGTAAGCTGGCCGAGACACCTCTGGATACCAAAAATAAAATAAAATAAACTAAATAGCATTATAATGGAAGTATTATAGCAGTCGTATGATAAACCAAATTCTAAATGATAACAACAAAGACAACATTGTGAGCACAACTTTGTGTCTTTCTAGCCCTCCCCGTCTTTGAGATTCCTATAAATCCCCATCACACAGATTCATTAAACCCATTTCTCTTCTTACTTATTCAACCAAATAGAGTAATATTTAATTTGTTGCATTTATTTCCCATCTTTGATGATAAATTCCTTTCGTGGGATCCAATGGGAGGAATGTTCAGCAAGAACTTCAGCAGAAGACAGCAATGCCACCCTGAAGCAAAAGCAAAAGCAGAAGAGGAAGCAGAAGCAGAAGCAGAAGCAGTAAGCTCAAACGATGCTAATGATAAGTCAAAAAGTACACAGGGATCAATATCCATCATCGAACTGATGAAGCCTGAGTGCTTCAAAACAAAGAGGGTGAAGAGAAAGAGGAGTATGCAGAGCTTGAACCAACCAGAGAAAAAGATCATGAAACCCAGAAAGTTAACTCTAGAGGAGTGGCTCTTAAATTCTCCTGCTCCAAATAACTTTAATAATAATAATAAGACTGATCAGTGTTTCAGTGGTGGAGAGCTTTATGTTTTTAAACATTCCTCTAGAAGGGTTCATCCATCTCTATCTTCATCATCATCAACTACTACTACAGTTAAGATGCATCGTGAAGCTGAAGCTGCAGCAGCAGCGCCTTCAACCTCAAGGCCAAGAGACAGTTTTAACTGCTCCTTAGATATTTCTGCAAACTCCTGTTCTTCATTGAGCAGAAGCCAAAGTGGGAAGTCGAAGAAGAGGGTGAGCTTCAGGCTGCCTGAAGAGGCTGACATTATCATCTTTTACTCTCCCGAGGACACACTTGGAAGTGATTACCAGTCCTTTTGATGATTAATAATAAAGGAACTCGTTGCTGCAGGTTTCTTAATTCGAGTGGTTTCGATTATAAATATCGATGTTCTGATTATGGGTAACAACGTTTTAGTTATCTGAATAATGTTTAATCGTGTTATATATATATATTAATGTTTTAAAACCCAACCCGAGTGAAACCCGGCAAAGTTTTCGGGTCCCGTGTTGACCGGTTTAATCGGTTTGACCGCTGGTCAAACTGGTTGACAAAAACTTTTAAAATTAAGCAAATATACCCTTAAAAATTACAAGTAAGTCCTTATATGTTTAAACTTTATCAAACACACTCCAAATGCAAATCGACTAGTGACTGATTGGCGGCAGCGACACCCTAGATGCAACCCCAATCGTCATTTGAGCCAATTTCCATTAAAATCTACCAAAGATTTGGCCGAAATAGGTTCGATTTCGGCTAGATCTCAACGACCCTGGTGTCGGCATTTTAGGCCAGATCTCATCCACGTCGATGTCGACAACCCTCCTCATCACCCAAGAATTACTCCTCTCTTCCTCTCGACCAAAACCCACCTCACCCCACCCCTGTTAGCCTCGCCAATCGCCGGCAAAATCTCATTGTTGCTGCTGCCAAATTTATTCGATTTTCAGTCGATTTACTCACCGGAAATCAACGTCGTCAACACACTGCATTCATCGGCCCTTTATCTTCAAAAGCGCCATGATTCTAGCCGTCAATTGATCGCCGATTACCGTCCCAAATCCTAGGGCTTTGGGTAAATAAAAAAAGCATAAACCCGGCCCGTGGAAGCTTCCGGGTCCCGATTGAACTGGTTCAACCCGCCAGGTCGGGTTAGGTTTTAAAACATTGATATATATTACGATTACTAAAAAGTTGTTACATGTAACTCAACTATTATAATCAAAATCCAGAGAATTCAGGCATGGACAAAACGAAGCCTAGGCTGGCCGAGAGCCAGGCAACTTATGACTTGCAAAAATTTCGGAGTTTTCCAACCCCCACCATGAGCTATTTAGTGGCATAACAATGGAGGGATTATATCTAGCCGTACTAATTGCCTTTATTTTTGGCCTTCTCCATGACCAAATTATATTACAAGTTTGAGAGTAAATTAAGCTTGTAAAACTTTACACAAATAAAGTTTGGGAGAACGATATTTTCTTTTGGTGAAACGACTCTTGTCCACCCTTCAAGTTTTAAAATCACACTTTCTCATCTTTCATTCGGTTTTATTATGTTTTCTGTTAATATTTTATTGAAAAGACAAAATTGCCCTTAAATATTTGATTTTATAATTTTTTTTAATTTTTTAATTAGCCAAAAAGTCAAATATTGAAGAGTTAAAAAAGATAAAATAATTAACCATAGCTAAAAAGTTAGGAGTAATAATATGGAGTTGTTTAAAGTTAAATAAACTTTATATTTATTTATTTATAATATCATCAATATCCCATCACTATTATTCAATAATCTACTAAATATCTAATGTTTTTCACCATATAATGTTTTTCATTTTTACTAATTAACATAAAAAATCAATATTCCTAATTAATTAAATAAACAAAAGAAAAAAAAGATATTCTTACACTTAAACTAATAAATAATCAAGTAAAGACTTCGACTTAACTAAATTTTAATTTATAATAAACTAATTAAAAAATAAATTATTTAAGGATATTTTTATCTTTTCAATCAAATATTAACGAAAAACACTAACAAAACCTGATAAATGGTGGAAAAGTGTCATTTTAAAACTTAATGGGTGGGAAAGAGTCGTTTCACCAAACCTTGGGTGGGAAAATGTTGCTCTCCCATAAAGTTTTACTGGTCACTTAAAACGAGGCTTTCTCTTGAAACATGGAAACAGTTTCTCGAGATCTAGAACCAAATTTTGGACTGTATAAAGGAGCCTGATGCTACCACAAAGTGTGCTGTTACTTGTTAGTTGCATTTTAATTAGCTCAAAGTTTTAAGTAGTAGGTATGAGCTATCATTCTCGAAAGAGTGAGGATAAAGAGTTAACATCAAGAAAGAGTAAACGACTTTTTCCCACCCAAGGTTTGCCTTCCTGACACTTTTTCATCCAAAAAGTTTCAAAATACCACTTTTCCATCCGATATTTATATTCCGTTAATACCTAAAATACGTTTTACTTTCTCAACCGATATTCGATGAGTTACCAGAAGTCAAGGTTAGAGAATTTTTGTAGAGTGGAGGTTGGTTGATGAAATGGTGATAACCGATTGAATATTCATCACCAGAATCAATCAAAAATCATCTAAGAACAAGAAACCGTAACTTTACAGTAGTTGAAAATCGGCAAAAAATCAAGTATCAAAGTGAAAGAGGTTTTATAGAGAGGAGACCAGAGGTTTAAATGGTAGTGACGGAAAGAATTTTTGCTACCGAAATCAGCTTTGGGTAGTAACTGAATATTAATTTTGGATTAAAAAATGATATTTTGAAGCTCTTTGGCTATGAAAATGTCATTAAGGCAAACTTGGGTGGGCAAAAGTAGTTTACTCCATCAAGAAAATATAACTTTGATTTGTTGAGACAAAGAGAGAGGATTCAACCACAAAAGTGTCTTCTAGTCATTAGATGGTAATAATAGAAGGATATGCATTTGATAAGAGCCCACCACAAATCCCATAAAGTGATAGAGAGAGATACGTCATACGTGGGTTGACAACATACACACCTACCGTTCTCCTTCTTCAAGTAGGTTTCAGAAAGGAAGTTGCCAGGAAACCGTTGCTTGCTTACTTTCGAAGCAAATTGAAAGTATATTCAACTGAGGGCTTCGTTCCCTTTATTATTACAGCTTCTTATTTGACTTTACCTTTATCCAACGCCTTCCCACTTTCTCATCGCTCTCACTGTCACTTCCACTCTTTTAATTAATTAACAACACATTTCTTTGTTGTTTGTGTTGGGAGAGCAGAATGGCTGGAGTTAAGATGGTTTCAGCTCTGGTTTTGATAGTCGTCATGGCTGTGAGCCTCGGTGGGAAATGGGCTGCAGCCGAAGTGCACCATGTGGTTGGTAATGACCGTGGCTGGGACTTGCCGTCTGACGTGGCTGGTTGGTCCTCCGGCCGAGTCTTCAGAGTCGGAGACAAACTCTGTAAGTTTTCTCTTTTTGCCTTTGATCGTTCATTATCAACCATACCGTATATTTCTTCTCTTCTACATCAAAAGAAAAAAAAGAGAAAAGCAAGATTTTTTATTTTTTATTTTTTATTTTTTTCTTAAATATATTATATGGTTAAAATATTAAATATCCCTTGGGAATATCATCAAGTACACGTAATTTATTTTCACTCACGTGATACTTGCCGGTGGTTGTTGCGCGTCTGATTTTGAGCAGGGTTTACCTACTCCGCGGCACAGGAAAGCATCGCTGAGATCAAAACCAAAGAGGAATACGAATCGTGCGACGTAAGCAATCCAATCAAGATGTTCACGGACGGCTTAGACAGCATCTTACTTGACGGGGAAGGGATCCGCTACTTCGTCAGCAGCAAAACTGAAAACTGCAAGAACGGCCTGAAGCTACACGTGGACGTGGTGCCTAAGCACACACCGGAGAATCCAAAAGTCAGCAAGTCAGAGGGCTCAGCTTTGGCCGTGGCTGCTCCGCCCACAACTCCAACTCCTTCCGGTGCTCCGTCTCGTATTAGCGCAAGTTTTGCTCTGTTTTTTGTTGGGCTTGGGCTTTGCTTCATGGGCTTTTAGAGAGGCCCAAGTGTTTTAATTTGGCTTGTGATAGTAGTAGTAGTAGTAGTAGTAGTATCGTAGTAACTCTTTAACTGAATAAGTTAAAAAGAGTTCAGAATTATGTAATGGTTAATTTTGATTGTAATGAACTTAGTTCCCTTTTCAACAGTCACAGATGAGCTTCTATGGCGTGGAAGAAAATTGACCATAATGGTAAATATAGAAACACTGAACACAAATGTTTATAGAAAAACATACAAGTCCAAGTCTGTTTATAAACTAATGGACTGGAAGAACTAAGATTCTTCTGAATTTCTCAGTTATTCTTGCTCCGAAAGCAAGAAACACCAGACGCTAATGTAGCTTAAGCTCAATTGTCTGATGAAATGAGGTTTGCAATATGGGAATGGTAGTGGTATTATGTCAGGATGTAATCATTTATCTCTCAATACGACGTAGTTGTTAGGCCCATTGGTCTTCTGTATCTTCGAAATTCTCCTCAGGATATCCGCAAAGGCCCTCTTATCCTGCACCGAAGAGATAGGCAGCAATATTTGATTTATCCAACAAGCTAATATGGTGTTATAACAGAAAGCTGAATTCGAAATGCATTTCCAGGTTTTCCAAACATATTTTCAGTCCATATTGTTTTAGAAGTAACAATAAGACACAGCATACCTCAGAGGATTTCAGTCTTGCTTTGAAATTAGCAACAAGATCCTGTGTTGTCACAGGTGCCTTCTGCAGTAAAACAGCCCTGATTTCTTCTTCAGTGACCGGACCAGAAGCAGCAGCTGACCCTGTTTTCGATGATGATGATTGTGTACCTCTTGGAGGCCCAGCACTTCTTGAACCAGATCCATTTTCCTCCTTTACAGAAGTTTTAGCATCCTAATTCCCGAAAAATAAAAAGGAAAGTTAAATCAAGGAGAAGTTCCAATTTAAGCAAAACCCAAAGATATCAAGAAATCCAATGAGCAGGTTCATCAAAGGCAGTGACTTACATTTTCAGTCTTCGCCTTCTTTAGAGGTGTACTATTAGATGTTTTTGCATCATCACCATTAGATTTCCTCTTACCCTTAACAGACTTGGAAGCAGGAGTTCCCTTGGCTCCAGAAGGAGCTGGTTTTGATGGACTGTTATCAGCAGGCTCCTCCTTCTTAGGTGTATCCTTCTGCTTTGGAGCCGGCGCAGAAGAAAAGCCAATGTCATCATCCATCTGATCAAGACAAGCAAAGAGTCCCATCAATAAATGAAAAGTTTAGACAAGCAAAATAAATAAAAAGTTCAGGCATATATGGAATACAAAGCGCAAAATAATTTCAAATTCAAACATAACATTAATTGCTTCTCAGGGCAAAGAGAGTCAAATGCCCATCACCACACTCCTAAATGCAACAATTAAAACTGCACAACAAAGATCAATACAACCATTTATTTAAATGGATTAATTTTATACACCCCTTGTGAGATTATTTAATTTGAAGAGCAACCGAGCTTTTCAGAAACCATCAAAAACTTTTTATTAATGGTTTCCAAAAAGCTTGGGTGTGCTTCAGACTAAATGATCACATATGTAATATATGAAATTAATCCCCATTTAATTAACCATCCACTACATCTGTTTTAATGATGTTCAAAGTTTGTCAATGTGACAACCATAATTACACATCACAAAAGCTTACATCATCGTCATCGTCATCGTCGTCCTCAGCTTCTGATTCATTTAGCCCATTAGTTCGCCCAAGCAGCTTCTTCAACTCTTTTCCAGATTTGCTCAGTCCTCCTCCCTCCTCTTCTTCATCTTCATCCTCTTCATCCTGCCAGAATAAATTTTTTGATGCTTTAGCAGTGTATAAACGGGATGAGGCCATATGAGATAATGTTCTTGAAATTAAATTTGATACAAATTCTAGCACTCGAGCACAAATGGATTAGACAATTGCCACATCCAATTCTTTCTTCCTAATCTGGTCCCTAGACCAAACTCTTTGATGAAATTAAGGCCAACAAGATCTAATTAAAGCTTCTACCAAAATTTTCCATTGTTGAATTGATCTTTAATGAAATTGCCATACTCCAAATAAGCCTCTCTCTTCTCTACTATTGCCTATCCTTCTTTAATTCTGAATACATTCACGATCTGTACATTCGAATAATAGCATTATTACACAGATGAAGTTGTCTATGTGCTGCCCAAAAATTCAAATACTGAATCGTACAAATTTCCAGAGCACAGTTAAATAACAGAACAAAGAATAGAGCTCTCATTGCGTTGATAAATCTGTATAATGGAGAAAATCCAAATGTCGCCCTACTCAACTAAGCGCCTTTTTCATATTTCTAATATATGGAATTAGTCAAACCCTCGTTAAGGGAGTTTCTTCCTTTATTGTAGAAGTAGAAAATTATGGGGATGAGATTTCAGAATCCTATCTTTGCTTTCTTACTATCAGGGCTCCTAAACATTAAAGGATTTGTTTAAACTGAGATGTCCACCAAAGAAATTATGTTACCATATCTAGTATCTATATATACAGTCCTATTCTTTAAAGCCAATTCACTTCTTCCTTTCAGCTATCACCATGGCAAGCAAGATATATATGCCCAACCTCATGAACTTTATATAGTATAGAGTCTTCAGATCCTGAAGTAACCTATTTATTATATTAAATAATCATGATCCTAAAAAACCGGTTATCACCAGTAGACTTAAACTTCTCAAAGTGATGTGAAATGATCAAGGTAAGTGCATCAATCACAACAAAAACTGGCATGTTATGATTACATGCATACCAACAGACCTGCTTAATTTCTGGCGGAGCGGGAACTTCAGGGGCTAAATCTTCCCGCTCCTCAGGATCATTACCAACAGCTTCATCATCATCAGTAAAAATTTCCTCATGTTCCCAATCATCACCTGGATCATAAACATACATTAAGAATCAGGACTATCATCTATTCTACTTGAAAAGCAGTATAACTTGTATTTAGATCAAACGCAACATACCAACATGAAACATGTATGATATATATCACATTTGAATATGGGAAGCCATAAAATTTGTACACAACAGATTTTGCTGAAGGACAAAAGCAGTCTAAGAAACATAACTCATATGTTTAAGTTGATGAAAATAATAAGATTGATTATGGACTTTACAGCTACCTTTTGTACAAATTAGGAGAAATTTCTGACATAAACAGACAATAAGAACATAAAAATATCGAAATCTCTTCGCTTCCCATGCCATGTTAAGGTTAAACAACAAGTACTAGAGGCTACCAGCAAGATATAGTTGTTTCAAAAGTGATGAATTAATGTCCTCAATGATGCAACACATATATAAATGTGCCAGCTAACTAATAGAACATCAATTCACCAAAACCACTTTGACATAAGAATTGTAGCACAACCTTCTTAACATAATTGAAGGTCATCGAATAACTCAAGGTGTTCTTAGAAAAGCAAGGCCTTTGACCAACCACAGTAAGATTAGGATTAACGAATATGTAACCCTTTTCAACAATTTACCTCTATCAATGGTCAAATCCTCCATTAAATCCTAGGGTATAATAGATGTGAACACATAGATCCACTTTAAGAGTGAAAAAAATATCAACAAGATTGCCCATAGATGTTCCAACCTCCCAGTTGTCCAACGTAATAGCGATGTTAAAGACCAATTTTAAGTTTCATTCAATTCATTTTGTGATGTAAAATTAAATAAATTAGACATTACCACACGAAATTGAAATGAATGGAGAAATAATCCTCAAAAATATTCAAAATGCTCACCCTTCTCAACATCATCATCATCCAAATCAAGATCACCTCCTCTTGGACCTTCTTCATCATCATCACCACTTCTTTTATTGAGTCCAAGTCTGTTCTTCCTAGCTGCCTCCTCTTCTTCATCTTCTTCTCCCTTATCTGAGACATTACCTTCATCATCCTCACCACTTTTTTTGCGTCCTCTCCCACCTGTCCCAGCACTCTCCTTGTCATCCAAATTTTTTTCTACTTCACCAAATGCAGCAGCTCCATTATTTGCAGCTTTCATCATCCATCTTTCATATCCATCTGCAGTCTTCCTCCTGTTCTTCATCTTTTCTTCGGCTTCCTCCAAGGTAAGTTGCTTATATTGTGCAACCTTGTTAAAATTAAACCTATATCTCACAGAAATAGAGACAAAAACTTCAAATAAAAAATTTATATATTCAATCAAACAAATATTTCCACATCACGTAACCAAGTACGGTACCACAACGAAATGTAAACTGAAATTTTAATTCACTCATAAAAGGTCATTTAAAAGAGGGGGAAGAGACTTTCAAGATCTGCTCCACTAATTCATAGAATTACCGATTTGCAACTTATGTGTGAAGATAGATAGAAAGCACATAGATTGATATATGTCTTGCATACCAAGAACCAGCAGGAACAGCAATATATTCTTTATTAGCCGGCACTAGCAGGTAGTAAGTTGCTGACTGAGCGCCTTCAAGGTGACCATGGTATTGAAACTGGCCTGTTTCATCCTCCAAGAGCCAAGGCTTATTCTTGTACTTCTCCTACATAATGCATGTACAAACTTATAAGAATAAGTTTTTTAAGAACCAAATGAAATCATGGTCAACATAGATTAGCATTTACATTGTGATTGGCACAGAATAACCATTTCAAGAGGTAAATAGATGTCTAAAACATCTTTTTTTCTCTACTTAATTGTGAGGAATTCCTGGTCCTTTTCTAACTTAATTGTAAGAAATTCTTGTTTCTTTCTCTTTCTGTTTCCCCGTGTTAATAATAACATAAACAACCACTACAGACTAACTTGAGTTCCCTCTACAACAATAGCAAAATGAGAGAAAATTTTCTCAATCTTCTTATAAAAAATTATAGCATTTCAAAATGTTTGTTTCAACTCTTCCAGCTATAATTGTAAAGCAATCATCACAAAATAGGCAATACCCGCAAAGTATCAGTAACTTGGCGCCCTTGTAGTCCTTCTTTCTGAAGCGTCCATTCTGAATTTTTCATGTTCGTAAATTTTGGCAGTCCAGACAAAAATCTTCCGATAAAGTAATGCTTGTCAGCGCTAGCACTCGGCCGAACATTACACTCCTAAATTCAACAAAAAATTATAATTAAAACCTAACCATATAGAAACCAAACTAGGCAATAGAAAGCAAAAATGAAATTCGAAGGAGACGAACTCGAATCAAGCGAGTGACGACGGCGCCACAATCGAAACATTTGCCTTTGTTCTGAGCCATGGTTTTGCCACACGTGAGGCAAAGAGTCATGTGTTTACAGGTGCTTCCATACAATTCCACAGGGGATCCAATTCCACATCCGCTACACGCCGACTTCAATGACAGATCCAACGACATCCCCCTCCTCCTCTCTTCTTCTCCCCCTTCAAAGCAACCGATAATTTTAGGGTTTCAAATCACGGACATGATAATAACTTCTTCTTCTTGATTATTTATGTTTACTTTATATTATCATTGGTTAAATATTTTGGTACCTTCTGAACAAGATTCTGAATTGCGTTTCGAGTTTTACGGTTGATTGTTTGACTAACGGTTACACTAGTCATGGAAGTGAAGAAAATTCCATCCCATTTCGTCGACCAATTCACAGCAATCAGGACATTGGAAAATAATTGCTTCCATTATGTTTGCATGCCCTTGGCCGGCTGCTAGATGAAGAGCTGTCATCTTTCTATCTTTATCAACAATGTATGCTGCAGATTCATCGGATTTCAAAAGCCATTCCGCAGCATGAAAACAACCATAATATGCAGCGTAATGAAGTGGAGTCCACCCATTTTGGTCTTTTTCTTTTGTTAAACTATTCTTTTTCTCAAGTATTTTTCTCGTTGTCCCTAAAATAAAATAAAACAAAAAAAAAACATATATAAAAAATAAAATAAATATATAAGAAAGCACTCTAAATTGGATTGTAAATAATTTCTTGTACTTTTTATGGCACAAGTTTACCTGACATTCCGGTGTACATATAGCCCACCAACTATGTAGTACTTGTATGTCGCATGCACTAATGTAGTATATTTTCATTGACAAGTTATACATGCAATAAATCATTATAAAAACACGAGATGAACCTATACATATTCTTCCTTGGAATTCCTTTCTTTCTCTTTTTAGATCATAACGTAATTCTCATTGCTTTCCTCCCTTTTTCAACTAATTGTTCTTATGTAGGGGCAAAGTGTTCAAACAAAAGGTGATTTCATAAAACCCTCATTTTAGGATCAATCTGAGAATTTTTAAGTTCATATAGATATAGTGCCGTTGTCATATATAAAACTCTAGCAAATAGCCGATTGAATTAAGAACTTATAAGCATAAAACGATGAATTAACTACATAATTCCAGATGTTCATAATGCTTATTTCACTTTAATCTTCTATGAAGTTTTATGCTTTTGGGTAGTATAATGTTTGTAGAACTGCTATCACAAGATATTTTGGCAATCAATTTATAATGGATGAATGGGAGATAATATAAAAGCAGACGGTAAGTAACTTAATTACCTAAATCATGCCTCATGACTGCCGCATGCAAAGCCGTCTTTCCATCAGGGCCTTCTTGGGCGGCTGATTTACAAGTTTCCAATATCTTCGCCGCTATTAATGGACACTTTCTCTCCACAGCAATATACAACGGAGTTTCCCCAGAATCATTACCAAAATACGAGAACTCAGGGTCTTCTTTGGTCAGTATTTCCACCACATTTAAACGAGCATTTCGAACTGCCTCATGCAAGGCTGTGTTCCCCTTGTTATTCCTCATCCTCAACATCTGCTTGGCAGCTGCAGCTCCTACTCTGCTTTCTATGTTCCCAGCGGAGTCGCGTTCGCGCAGTTCAACAGAGCTTTTGCTGTACCGGGGCGCCCCTATTTTGCTGCAAGATTTAATGGAGTATCACCATTGACATTAACTTGTAACAGTAGCGATGGATATATCTCAAGAATTTCTTTCACGAACTGGGTTTTTTTCGGGGTTCGGCTTGGAGATATGATGTGAATATGCAGGATTATGTTCTTGATTGGTGTTAAAATGCGATTAAGATTTTGATTGCTTGCGTTAAAGGGTTCAATATCGCCCTCAGCTGCAGCCTTGTGCAAAACGAGGTTCAATATCATTCACATTTGAAATTGAATCCATTGGAAATAAGTTCAGATATGTTTCGCACATTGGTAATGTATATTATCAATCTAATTCGAATTGATTCTTTTGGATTATGAAGCTTAATTAATTGTACGAAAATATATTTTTTTCATGCATATATGAAATTCTCTATTAATTAACTAGGAACAAGCTGCTCCACAAGAAATCTCAAACTCGATTTCAATGCAAAGAAGTTGCAGCCAACAAGGCAAGAGATTTAAATAAGGGAAAAAAGAAATAATTAAGAATGCTGGTATTGTCTTGTCCAAGTAAGGAATGTTTTCACGGAGAAGCTGACTGTTGAGTTTATTAAATTTGCAAAGATGGACTTTATTAATGGTAACGTAAGTGAACTTAATTACTTCTGCATTATACGAGACTGCATTATAATACATTGTTGAGAAGGTCAGAATCATAGGTTAGAAAGTAAGAAGTGCTGGGTTCTGAAATAGAAGATTCAAGTGTTAGTTAAAATTACTTAACTAAAATGAAGAAAACGATGTTAGTGGTTGAAGAAAAGGAGATAACTTGAAGGAAGCGTTTGGTTCAAGAATGTTGTATTAATGGAAATATATATTACTTTTAAGATTATTGAGAATGTTTAGGAAACTTGTTTGGTTAGGTTGGAATAAATTGGTGTGTATATTATATTGATATATTTGGTTGGGAGGATAAATTGGTGAGTATATTATATAAATTACTAAATTGCCCTCATTTTACATATTAATATAATATTATTTTCATTATTATTTTTTGAATTATTTCTTTTAACCCCCTACATTTGAAATTTTACTAAAACACCCCAACCATATAAAAGTTTAATTTGTAACAAAATCACCCTCACCAACCCTAAGCCATTGCCGGCCACCATCGTCGACTATTGTTGGCAGTTGCTGGAATGACGCACGACTAGCCAGATATGGTCGGCCATGTACCGATCTAGCCATTAATGACCAGATCTGTGGTTCTTGTGTGCCATGGATCTAGCTGTTAATTTTGGCACACGATGTCATGAATCTGGCTGTTAACGGCTAGATCTACAATCATTTGGTTGTTTTCGATCATTGATCTGGTCGTTTCTAGCTAGAATGGAGCATGGCTTGCCAGATCCGACTGGTTATGCACTATTTCGATAATGGCCACCGCCCATCGGTAGCCGATAGTGGTTGCCAATGGCCGACAATGGTTGTATATATATATATATATATATATCAGCCAACGGTGGTGGCTGGTGCGCAGCAGTGATCTTAGGTGGCCTATAATTTTTCTTAAATATAAGGATATTATTGTCTTAAAACTTAATTAATTAGGGGTAAAATTGTAATGACGGGTTAATGTAAATTAATTTTAGAATAAGGGAATTATTGCCAAAAAATTTTAATAGTTAAGGGTAAAATTGAAACAAAATTAAAATTACCTAAGAAAATGGAGTATGGAGGTAATCAAATTACCACCTATATAACCAATAGTAATTACTATTGGTTTTAAAAAATTACTGAAATTTTATATTACTTGACAACTAAACGTGGTAATCTAAGTAATATAAGATGACATTACCTCAATAAGATGACATTATCCTCCCAACCAAACGCCCCCAAAGAGTAAACAGAACTTCAAAATCCATTAAGGTTTGTTAGTTCTTTAAATCAAAGCGACATCGTTTTAATGTACTCTTATTTATTAAAACTAGGCCCACCCAAATCCCATGGAACCAGAATCAAAATCAGAACCAATCGGTTCTTAAGATTTGGAACCAGAATCGGAATCGGCCGATTCCAGTTCCTAAAAACTGGAACAGAAACCTGAAATAAAGTTTTCGATTCCGAGTACCCAAAAAAATTACAATTACCCACTACTATTCACAAAAATGAAAATGAACCCCAAAAGTTTACAAAAATTACAATTCAATCCCTATTCCTACCCTGGTACCCAGGTCTTGATTCCGATATTGGTTATGCTTCCTGCAGTGGTGAAACCGGAACCGAAAAGTACTGGTTTCAATTTTTTAGAACCGGAACCGACCTTATAAGGGTCGATTCTAGGTAAGAACTGGAACCGGAACCCTGAGTACTCGTCGGTTTCAATTCTACCCTATTTTTTTGCCCACCCCTAATTAAAATACAAGGTTGCATCGATTTAAGCTAAGGGAACCACCACTGAGCGTGACCTGATGGTAAAAGAGCAAAAGCGTCCAAAATTGGTTCCTAAGTTTGAGTCCTCCCAAACACTAATAGGGGTGGTCACTGAGGGGATTTACTTGGTCATTTATTTTAAGACCTCGGGAAATTAGTTAAGGTGCATGCAAGCTAGTACAAACACACCCGTGGTCCAAAAAAAAAAAAAAAAAGATTTAAGCTAAAGGTTTTAGCTTCTTCTTTTATTGCTCTTCCTTAACTAGTAGAAAACACAAATCCTACAGTCTAGCTTTTGTTATTTTGTGTTTGTTTGTAAATGATAGAATGGCTAATGTTTTGAAAAGTAGCCAGGGTTAAGTTGTAATATGTAAAACTTAGTTTGGGTTAAAATGTTAGAAATAAAAGTTCTTGCAAAACGGGGGGTTTTGTATCAACGGCTATATAAAAAACGTCGCGCACTGTTCCAAAATACTGTTAATGGATTGTCACATATAAGCATACTGTAAATAAATTTGAGATTGATGAAAAATTGAGAGTTCATTTCTCTATATGAAATTATTAACTGTTTAGTCATTTACATGGTATCTATATAAAATACGGTTACTATGTTGCTATGACCAATTGAGGGAAATAGCTAGGAGAGATGAAATTATTCATTTTTTGACTGTTTTAAAAGCTTGTTAAGTCAAAAAGTAGTTAAATTCTTTTTATTTTATTATTATTTTTGAGATATTTCTAAGATATTAAAAGGAACTTTAAATTAACCTACAAGTCATCTTACATTAGAATGCTTCTTTATGTAGGAAAAGAAGGCACAATCTCAATTTCAAACAATCAAACTCAAAGAATTAATCTTTTTCATTTTTTTGTGCAATTAAAAAGAAAATCTTTCCAAGTGAAAGGAAAAACCACGGTAAATCATCCACACAAAACTTCCACCATGAAATAATGAGTTACAACAAGAGTTCCCCTCCATTATAAGTTGTAACACAATATTGTCGTCTTAAAAGATGGATACAACTCAATGTGACAAAAAGTAAGTTTTGTCTCCTAAGCATTAATTAATTATCTGCAATTTGAATATGTTGTATTACACATAATTTCCTTATATATGCAGCCAGCCAATGGAAAGTAATTATCTGCCCAAATTGAACACACTAACTGAAGGGTACTTTAAAAGTAAAACCATTATATGCCTTTGCGACAGCAGTACACTCGTATATTAGAATGGGGAGTGAGGGGCGACTAGATAATGAGTGCAGGTGGCAATCGGCAGGCACACCCCTCTGTTGATGCTTGATGCTTGAAAGATATTAGCCACGGGAATTGTGAACAATAATAAAAGCATAATAGTTATCACTATTCAACTGTTAACTATTGTTGAGTTAATTTAATAAATTTAAAAAGTAATATGACCGAAAAATAAATTTAACTGATATCGATAATAGAGGAGAAGCCAATTAACCATTCTTTTAAACTATCAGTAATCTTAGTATGTACACAGCAATACAATTCCAAAAGATTTCCCCTTATTCTCACAATTGCAAATTAAACTTTTATTTATTTATTCTTACAACTCATATCAAATATTTATATCATTCATTTGACTATTAATAGTCATTGTTCTTTAATCAATAATTTACTTTTTTGAATGTTGCATAATCTATTTATGTTTTAAATTTGATATCTCTTTAGAGAAAGGACATCCAACTCTAATGATTCATCATATTTGTTTGTCAAAATTTTGATTAATTTAAATATATATTTGTATAACAAATGCAATTTAAGAAATTAGGTTTAAGATGTCGCTATGACTGGATGCATATAATTTTTCAGTTAAAACATTCTCTCAAATTGTTACGATTTGCTTACAAAAGGTGTTACTCAAGAAGTTTGTTATGTCACTGAAAAAAAAAAAAAAAAAAAAAAAATAGCCTGGGTAAAGAAATATTACTGGCTACGCCTCTTTCCTTCATACTTCTTTAAAATTCTACGCCTCCACGATTCCCTCAAATATATTAAGGTAAAAATCCCGAGGAAGAAGCTCAAGCCGATTAAACAAGTGGCAATGGCAAACCCCAAAGAAGGTGATAATACTGCATATGTGCCTGTAGAAAAAGCAACCACCATGGCCACTATAGCTAACGAGATGAGCAAACGAGTATATGCACGATAAAACCATAATACCGGCAAGTTCCATGCTGTAGTGAAGTGGACAAAGCCAGCGACGAGGGAGAGGACGAAGGCTGTAGCATCGGTTATAACAAAAGCTTGAAAAGCTGCTTTTCTACTTAGGAATGCCGTGCCCTGATCAGGGCCTTTTTCACTTCGGTAGCCACCGGGCATCGTTAAAGCTGCTGTGAAAGTTACTGTTGCTATGAGTGTAGCAACCACCATTTCAGAATCTATTGTTTTCTCAAATCTAGGGAGCCTATCAAATATCCAGAATGGATTTTTATTAATAACACCTCGCGGATATGGTCCAGTACCATCAGAACTTGACAATTCTTGGATCTCTTCCTGCAATACAAGAAATATTGTAGAAAAGTAAATCAAAATAAAATATTGTAGACAAATTTGATGTAAAAGTAGTAATGAAATATTAATGATAAGAAAAATGATACAGTCACCAAACAAGGGATACCGAATTCATGCATCAATAAACGTGACACTATCATGATCGTTGATTAATTATAAATTTTATTTTTTAAAAAAGCGGATGGTGACACATCTATTCGGTGTATGAATTCAGTATACTTTTTCGATACAAACCACAATATTTCACTTTTCCACTCAATTAAAATTATCCTACAACTTCAATCAATAGAAAAAAGATCCGAAAACGGTTCAGAATTTATAATCTCTTTTAAGTAAAAAATTAATTAAGTTAAACATCACACAAAAGCATTCATGACTGTGTGATTTATTAACATCGGCAAAGCCAATAAAATTGATTTTAGGAGGCAAAAATTGTATAAATTAATTATATGGTGATATTTTTACAATTATACCATGTACATTATAAAATAATGTAAAACAAATTAATCAACTTTTTTGGAAGCATAGCTTTGCTAAATAAACACAAAGTGTAGAGTGGAATTCAGTACCTGCAGCTGAGGAGAGCCGTCAAATATTATGTAATGGATAGTGTCATTTTGCTTGTTAACGGCATAATGATATCTTGTGTCTTCAAGTTTTTTTTTTATGCGATGGTATTCCCGTGGACGGCAAGCAGCAAGCACATGGAGAGGAGTGTTTCCTCTTGCATCCTTCTTAGTAACAAGATGTTGTAAAATTGGATTTTCTAGCAAAGTATTCAATTGTTGAACAGGTAACATAGTCATGGCAAAGTGAAGAACATTCCATCCACGGTCGTCAACCATTTGACAACAATCTGGACACTGGGAAATAATTTCTTCTGTTATCTGCATATGCCCATAAAATTGTTTTGGCCAGTACCAGATATGAAGTGGAAATGCATTGCTGACTGCCACATGAAGAGGTGTCATCTTTCTATCTTTATCAGCAACGTATGCAGCAGATATATCAGAGTCTAAAAGTAGTTTTGTAATATCAGGACAACCATCATATGCAGCGAAATGAAGTGGAGTCCACCCGTTTTCATTTCTGTTTTTGGTCAAACTCTTTTTGTTCTTTAGCAATTCTTTTATACTATCTGAAACAAATTAAACAATAAAAAATTGAATTAATATAGTATATCAAACATTACTTAAGGCCTCATTACAGCGAACCCCCAAGGAGAAATTACAACACACCCATTTCTATTAAAATTTAAAAAAAAAATTCATAACTAAAAACTTAATAAAATAGGCATTTAATAACAATTGATAAATGAAACACAAAAATCTTGCACAATTTTTTACAAAATCTAGCCTCATAATAGTTGCTTGAAGTCGGAAATGGTATCTTGGTAGGCGCTTGAGGCCAAGAATGACCTCGTGGCAGTCGTTGGAGGCCGAGAACGGCCTTGAGCAATTGCGGTGGAGGCCATTTCCGGCCTTGGGCATCCGTGGGGAGGCTATTTCAGCCTGGTCATAGCCCACTAAGGCCAAGAAAGGCCTCACAACAAATATTTCTGGCCTTGTACTGTTGCGAGGAGGTCGTTTTAGGGAGGTCTTGTTCGACCTCGACCTCCTGGCAGTCGATCTGGCCAGATTCGACCTCATCGTAGTTACGGGGGGCCTGGTCCTCTAATAGAAATGGTGGGGAAGAAGAAGGTGGAAGTACGGAGGAAGGAGAAAGGAAAAAAAATTAAAAAAGGAAGAGGGTGAAAAAGGGAAAAGGAAAAAGAAGGGGTGGAAAAAATAAAATAAATAAATTTAGTGTTTTCAAATGAAAGTGAAAAGGTCTATAATACACTTCTTAAAATGGTTGAAATATCAAAATAACCTTTTCAACTTTTAGGGTGCGTTTGGTTCATTATTTTGAATAGGATTTTGGGAATAATATTGGGTAGTTGGATATGGGAGTATTACGAGGCAAAATTTAAAAATTTATAAAAGAGCTCCTAAGTTTGCTAATATAATTAAACACCCTAATGTATAAAATGACAAAACCACCCCCACCACCCGCAATGCCAAATTCCGGCCACCACCGCCGGAATCTGGTCGAAAAATTTTGTTACGACATAGATCGGTCAGATCTGTGTTGTAACGTGGTAGATCTGACCGGAAAAGGCCAGATCTACAGTAAAATGCTGTCGTCGATGGCCGAAAAAGGCCAGATCTACAGTAAAATGCTGCCGTCGATGGCCGGAAAAGGCCAAAGAAAACGACGACCATTTCTTTGGTCATCACTGACAACCAGATCGGTGAACTACCGGCCAGTTATGGTTGTGATGTAGGCCGTTGTACAGATTCCGACTATCACTGACAGTAGTTGCCGGAATCTGGCAAGTATGGGTCGATAGGGTTGTTTTTGTTAACTTTTAAACTTTTTTTTGGAGGTATTTAGTGAAATTAATAAACTTAAGGGGTCTAAAAGGAATTAAAAAATATAGTAATATTTCTAGAATAATATGCCACACAATATTTTGAGAATAGGATTGAGAATATGGATATAAATATTGAACCAAAACGCACCTTTCTACAGCAAAATTAAAACAAAAAAAAAAAAAAAGGGATTTACACTTCACCAAAACCGTCGGGATTTACGTAATAACGCCCACTACTTTCATAAATCTGGAAACGAATAATATTATAAAGTTATTTTTTTACTCATTTGTACTCTCAAATAAATAAGATATAGATAAGGGATCACCTTTATGGTTGTTCATGACAGCCACATGCAAAGCAGTCATTCCATGGGGGCCTTCGTGGGCGGCTGACTTGCATCTTTCTAATATTTCACGCAATGATAAGAGACATCCTCTCTCGGCAGCAATGAAAAGTGGAGTTTCCCCCAAATTATTAGCAAAATGTGAAAACTCAGGGTCTTCTTTGGTTAATATTTCCACTACATCGACGTGATCACTCACCACTGCCTCGTGCAAGGCTGAGTTTCCCTCGTTATTGCTTTTCCTGATCATCAGCTGCTTGTATTTTAACCCACTTTCTGTATCTTGATGTTGAGTTTTTGCGCACTCAATAAGAACTTTCACTATAGAAGAGTTTCCATGTCTTGCCGCAACATGTAGGGGTGTATCCCCATTGGCATTAACCTGTAGTAGAAGTGATGGACATTTTTCAAGCATTTTGCGCACGAACTCTCTTGATTTTCGGGTTTGGGGTGTATCCCCATTGGCATTAACTTGTAGTAGAAGCGATGGACATTTTTCAAGCATTTGTCTCACGAACGATATTGATTTTTGGGTTTCGGATGACAGGTGAACATGCAAGATTGTATTCTTAATCGGTGTTAATATGAGATCAAGCTGTTGATTGTCATCCGTGAAGGGTTGGATCTCACCCTTGATTGCGGCCTTGTATAAATCACGATTGAACCCACATTCGCTGCCAAATGAAACGGAATCCATTGGCGAAATGAAGTGTGTTTGATGAAGCAAATGAAAACTGCATGGAGACAATTACAAGAGTCTGGTCCAATACTTTAGGCTTTAGTGTCATTAAAGCCAAATTAAAGTAGTGGTTAGGAAGAAAAGGGAGGGAACTAAGCATAAATTTTATTTAAAGTAGAAAGTGATATATATATCTTCTTCTTTAAATGACTTGGAAATTATAGCAGATTTTATACTTTTCTTCAGTTTGGTTCGTAAGGACAAACAAAGGGAACTAAGCATAAACTTTATTTAAAGTAGAATATATATATAACAAAAAATCAACCATAGCCTTTATTCCAAGAAATTTATTCTAAAATAACTATATCACTTTATCAGCTTTTTTTTTAACCCTCTAACTTTAAATTTTTGATAAAATTTCTAAAGTAATATTAAAATGATAATTAGTTAATTTTATGTTTGATAGAATACATGTTTAATTGATCATCATAAGATCTTGATAAAATTATACACGTAACGACACTACAATAGTTGACAGTAATAGACATGATTTTGTATGTTTTCTCAAGTTTAATGTTTAATTTATTTTCTTTGTTAATTTATAGTTTTTAATTGTTTTCTCATCATATATATATATATATATATATATATATAGTATATTTTATATATTATAATACATCTTTGGTAGTTTGCGCTAGGCCTGCAATCGAACCGAACATGAACGAACGGGCCCGTTCGAAAATCGTTCGATAAGCATGTTCGATTGTTCGTGTTCGTGTTCGTGTTCGAACGAACACAGGATGTGTGTTCGTGTTCGTTCGATTAACAAAAAGTTCGTTGTGTTCGTTCGCAACTGTTCGTGTTCGTTCGACTAACTCGTTCGACTAACTCGTTCGACTAACTTGTTCTGTTCGACTAACTCGTTCGATAATTCGTTCGATAATTTGTAAATACCTGTTCGACTAAATCGTTCGAAATTTGTAAATACTAAATATTTTAAATGTTTACATAATATTTGTATCAATACCCATAAATTTATAGTGGAAGAAAGTTATTGAATATATGATCACACTATGTGTGATAATTTGTTATTATATATATATTTTGTATCAACACCCATAAATTTATAGTGAAATGATGGCCTATTATAATATATGATTAATACATATGTGTGATTAATTTGTTATATATAATGTGTAATTGTGTATATACAAAATTATTATCATACATATATTAATCATAGGAAATTGTTATGTAATTACCAAAATTATAGTTATCATATATTTATTATCAACATAAATTATCCTAAATATTTTAAATGTTTACATATAATTTTGTATCAACACCCATAAAATTATAGTGGAATGAAAGTCTATTGTAATATATGATCAATACATACGTGTGATTTATTTGTTATACATACATACAATATATATATTGTATCAACACCCATAAATTCATTGAAATGATGGCCTATTATATATATGATCAATACATATGTGTGATTAATTTGTTATAAAATGTGTAATTGTGTATATACAAAATTATTATCATACATATATTAATCATAGGTTAAATATGTTATGAAATTACCAAAATTATAGGTTATCATATATTTATTATCTATACATAAATTACATAAATATTTTAAATGTTTACATATATTTTGTATCAACACCCATAATTTAGAGTAAAATGAAAATCTATTGTAATATATGATCAATACATAGTGTGATTAATTATATAATATAATATATTATTATTTAATCATACTGTCTACATATTTATTTTGTACCAACACCTATAAATTTATAGTGATATGAGAGTTTATTGTAATATGTGATCATACAAATGTGTGATTAATTTGGTTTAATTAAACTATTATATATTAAATGTTTGTTATGATACATCACTTGATTATACAATATGTTATGTTTATCAATTTACCATACTATATTATTATTTTTTAATTGAAATGTATCTTATAATATTATTATTGATTACATTTAGAAAAATATGAAGCTATTATGTTATGGATTACTATATATTTACACTTGATTATACAATTTATTATGTTATTAAATGTCATGCTATGTATCATAGAATTTATTATTTTTAATTAAAATGCTATATACTTATATATTAATTATTGATGACATTTGGAAAAAAAAAAATTTACATATTATATATATAGAAAAACAAAAGTATCTAATATTTTATATTGATTACCATAAAAAAAATTCATCCAAACTCAATCAAACATAATATAAAATGGAATTTTTTTTTAATTATAATAATGCATAACATGTTTTTCGAACATAAACGAACGAACAATCGAACGATTGTTCGCGAACGGATGAATTAGTCGAACGTATAGTGTTCGCGAACATAATCGAACGAACAACCCCTGTTCGAACTCGATCGAACATATTATCGAACAATTATCGAACTGTTCGCGAACAAATGTTCGCGAACATTATCGAACAGTAATCGAACGAACAACGAACGTTCGCGAACTGTTCGGTTCGTTTGCAGCCCTAGTTTGCGCCTTTGCGGTCACTGGCTTTTCTCTATTAATAATTTTTACTGGCTCAAATGGGTCAGATATGAGTGAAATTAACTGCCTCACAGTAAGGCTACACAAACAGAATGTAATACAATTAATGAAAATCCATTGCAAAGTTTAGAATTCTCTTTATTCTGATTTTTTCTGTTATTCTCAAAAAACTTCATTGCAAATTGTGGCAATTGTGGCAATTGTCGGCTGTTGGAATGCCCCTAAGTAGGGAAAAAATAGTCTTAATTTGAGCGCTACCATGACCCTATATTGGACTAAGTATTTACCAGCTTAAGTTTTTAGTAAAATGGAACCTTAAGATGATATCATGGCAGAATGTGTTGAATTTGAATTTCCACATTTCAACAAGATAAAAAAAAAAAAATCCCAAAGTTTCATATAAGTAAATTTATTGGACTAAATATTAATGTTGAGCCCCTAGTTACCACATGAACCCTCTTTTGAGGATTGGAGTTTGTCTATCCTGAAGATCTAAAATTTCAAGCACTTTTCTAACACACAATCTGAATGTTTGCTCTTTGACCAAGTAGGGTTAGTTATACCTAGGGGTCAATCTAAACATGTTCTTGATTTATTGCACATAAGAAGTAAAGCAAAATGGAATTAGTTCCATATGGTAAATAAGAAAGTCTTAGTTTTAATAGAAAGATCAAACATCGTTATATACGATTTATTGTACTAAAGGCAGCAAACTAGCTGTTATTTACTATCAAGTATTTCATTGAATAAAACTCTCTCGTTTAAATCCAGGGAAATTAAGCTTCAATCTTCATCCTCCACAACACTTTATTCACTAGTAAGACGTAGAACAAGATGAAGAAACTCAAGCCAACTAAACAAGTGACAATGGCAAGCCCAAAGAAGGTGATAATACTGCATACGCACTACAAGAAAAAAGGCTTGACGGGCATTCCCAGTCAAGAAGGGGGTACAATGATAATTTTTGAACTATCATAGTTTCATTGTAGCCCCTGACAAAAAAGGGTTATGACAGTTTTTGAACTGTCAAAAATCTCGTGACAGATGAATAGCTATCAAAGATTTAGCTGAATTTTAACTAAATCATTGACAGTCTTCAAACTGTCAAGAGTTTTTAACAAACAAACAAAAAAAAAAAAAAAAAAAAAAAAAAAAAAATTGAATAATAATAATAATAATTTTTTATTAATAATAATTGCATCATATACAATCACAACATATCTTAGAATATTATATAAATTGATTGAGAAGTTAACCTTAATACAACGCTAAAACAAAACAATACAAATTCAAATAAAAAACAAAAATAAAAACCACATACATGCATTCCTAAAGGATTTTTAGTGTTAATCTCATCACTGTAATCTTGCAAAAAGTACTCAGCAATACGAGGCATGTGGACTAAACATTGAAGGGCACTATTCATAAAGCAAGTATTTCCCAGATTCTGTAATCCAGCCAAACCTCCCCCCTCTCCTTTTTTAACAGTGTTATAAGAGTCGTATCCTTGATCCATATTTGTTAACGCTGAGCCCAAAGAACTACCCTGATACTGATTAATTCTATAACCTGTTGAGTAACCATTTGACATGGTAGGCCGCCCAGCAATTGTTAGGGATGACCTTGATGGTTCTAGGGGTACCAAAGCCAGTTCATTTTCGGTGGAATCCATGTCAAAGCAAGAAGAATAACCTCCATCAACTTGAACCTCCAGAAGAATCTGCAAAGAAAAGGATACATCAACCATATAGTTTATAAAAAAGAGATTTCAAATATGTATCGATATTTAGATAAGTTTAACAGCAAAGACCATGATAAAGAAGTTGCTACAACAACAATTTCTTAGTATATCCTGACAATTTCAAATAAAATCCAAAATCTTAAACAAAGTGCAATAGATTTTAAAAGTTAAAAGAACAATCAAGAGAGTGTTTATACAAAATTGTATGCAGACAAATAGACAACTCTTAAAAAAATAATGTCGGTACAAGCTAATTTCCAAATACCACTCACGTACCATTACGAATATCCAAAGAAAGAAAACAACTATGATCAAGTTTTATCATTGTTCAAAATGAAAACTAAATGACAACAAAATACAGACATTGAAACATTACACCACAAGACCACATCTATGTATGTCTACTTATTATCCATTATCCAGAAGAGATAGTCACCCCAATCATAAATAAAAAGCAAGTTCAGTAAATTAAAAATAATTCACATTTAGAATGAAAATCAAAACCAGACATACATGGCCATAGATCCACAAGAAGACAAAAATAAATAAATAAATAAAAAATGGAATTTTTTATACAATCCCTTTTCCTATCTGCAAGATAATTTTCCATCCAAATAATATAAACATAAGCAGGATACTCACATGTTGGGCCTAGAATCAATCAAATTGAGAAAAAGTGGGTAAACCTCTACTCTCTTCTCACTGGTAATGCCCTCATAAATCATCTTTCTTGGCAATGCTGGGCCTCCTTTGTACCTAAAATTTAGAGATTAACCAGTTAAAAAGACATAAGCTTTGTTATTAATGAAGAATTCATACTAATGCCTACAATATCACAGAAAACGAACATTCTGACTCTACAAATTTGGACAAGCAATTCCATTCCAAAAACTACTAAACCAGCTTTACACATACATCAGCATAAAAGTTGAATATGAAATAAAGAGCTCTTTGTAAAGAGTAAAAAATTATCTTGGCAAAGGAGGTTGGAGTTGAATTGTTATTTTGATCCCCATTTTTCTTAAAAAAAAATAAACCACCTCAGTCAGACATTGGGATAAGCAACTATCACTAACAAACCCTTCTATGTCACAGTATAAAAATGCTTTTCATTCCATGTCAATGCTGCCTACACTCAATGGATTCGTATTCTTTAAGAATCAAGAGATTCTTCAACAACTTAAACTAAGTATTTTATTCTTGATGACCAGATAGTCTAGGGCAATTTTTCTCACCTTTTGTAGGGTTAAAATATGGTACTTAGAATACAAGTACAGTTACACTTGATATTCCAATATGATAACATAAACTCATGCTGCACCACAAGTTATAGCCCCCCAAAAGTTTGAAGCCAAGCACAGACATTTATATTTTAGTGTATATGTATATATACTAATAAACCAAACATTCCCATCATCAATCAACTCTGAATACATACATACAGAACATTAACAATCCAATGGCATTTTTAGAGGAATATAGTCAACTTTCAGTTACTTCATTCCACTAAGAAAACTCTAATATCAACCATATCCATAACAAGCAATCATCACCCATCAATTACGTTCAAACAGAACACATAACTAATCCAGAAATCAATTAAACCCAATTTAATCTCACCTGTTTGGGCAACTCTCTCTTGACAACAGGCAATTGAGTGTTCCCTTCAACCACATTCCCAAGCTTATCCTGAAACTGCACCACCAACTGAGTTATATCCCCTTCTACAACCTCACAAACCACTTCCCTCGATTCAAGTACCCGAAATTCACCAATTGTGCACAAGCATACCCTTCATCATGGTACCACTTCTACACCCTGTGCCTTATCTTCTGCAACAACCTCGCACTCACCTTTCCATGGTCCTTTAACATCTGTAAAATCTCTCTATGCACCGAAAGGGGCAACAAACACGGCCTGGCCTTATCAATCCTCCTCCTATAGTCCTTCTCCTGACTCTTATAATACTCCATTTGCTCCTTATCAGTCATATCAGGATCCATTTCAATAGGTTTCGATTGGGCCATCAAACCCACGTTTATGCACCTAATTCTATCAGCTGACTGCCACGTACTCTCCAAAAATGATATTGTTAAGGCTAGTGTACCATCAGGTTTCGTTTTACTCTCCATATCAACCTTCTCGAACATCCCATAAGTGGCTAAGGATTCGAGCTCTTTCATCCAAGGAAGAAAACAACATTCTGTACGTGATGGTTTGCGGCGGCGGAGGTGGCGAAGTGACGACTTTACTGTTTACTGCTGCTACCGGGAACTGAAGAAAGAAGTGATGGAAGAGATTTGGGCGATTTAATGGAGGAGATTTAGGGTTAACGGGATCTGATTAATTTAGTGGAGGACATTTGGGTGGGAGAGATTTGGGCTTTTGGCGGAAGTTTTTTTCTTGCCCTAGGTTTGACTTGGTCAAAATATGGGGGGTAATGGGTTTTGACGATGAACGGCGCCTTTGGTTAATGGATGAATGTTATATTAATATGTTTGGTTTTAAGAGAAATAAATTGGATTATTATTATATTATTTTTTAATATTGATTATTATTTGGATTCTTATAACTCCTATATTTAAAGACTTAGCAAAAATAACTTCATAATAAAAGTTTAAAAAATCAACAAAACATCCTCACCAACCCAATTACTGTCGACTGTTAGCAATCTAACAGTGCACGAAAGACAGGAAAATGGCCTTCGTGCACCGTCTGGCTATTTCTGACCAAAGATCTGGTCGAAAATGGTCAGACGTAACAGATCTGGCCATTGACAGCCAGATCGATGGCCGTTAAAGGCCATAAACGTGGTCGTTGACGGCCAGATCTAGCACGATCTGGCCATTCTATGCGCTATCCCAGTGGCGGCGACGGTTGGCAGTGGTTGCCAGCAGCTACTAGGTGGGGGTGGTGGCTTGGATGGGCTGTAATTTGTTTTGAATTCAATGGTAATTTTGTACAAAAAATTAATAAATTGGGGTAAAATAGTAAAAGTCATATTCATATAAATAAATTTAAAAATAAGGGCATTATTGTCCTAAAATTTTATTAATAAGGGATAAAATTATAACAAAAAAAAGATAACCCGGATAATCTTAGAATACCTAAGAAAATGGAGTTAATCAGATTATCTCCAATATTATCAATAGTAACTACTATTGGTATTTAAAGATTATCGGTATCTTATATTACTCGACAACTAAACATAATAATCAAATAATATAAGATGTCTTAACCTCAGTAATCTGAGTTAACCCCTAACCAAACGCCCTTTGCTGTTTTGAGCGGAAAGAATTTGCCTCAGCAAAAGCTTTTTTTAACTTAATCTTAACAGTTAAACACTGTCGAGTATTAAGAGTATAACAGTAAAAGAATGCTTAATTTTTACAAAATCTTTGATAGTTAATAACGGTATCAAAGATTTGGTAAAATAGTCAAAGATGGTCTCCAATCCTTCACATTTGAAAAACAGTTAAGAAATTGTTGAGAGACTTTTTGACTGATTTTAAAAACAATCAAGAAATCCTGTCAAGAACAGCCTTTTATCTTGTAGTGACGTGCCTGTAGCAAAAGCCACCACCATCGCAGTTATGGCATATGTGTTATGTGATGAGCGGAAGGGTATACAATCGATAATACCGTAATTCAGACATATTCAGGGGTACAACGAAGTAGATAATGACAGCCAAAAGGGAGAGCACCATGGATATAGCATCTGCTATAACAGAAGCTTTAAATGCTGTATTTCTATTCAAGACTATTGTGCTTTAGAGGGTATTTGTCTAAGCTTATAAACTAGTCAAACTTACTTATAAACTCTAAAATTAAGCTGATCTGTTTATTTATAATTTTTTTGAGTTTATAAGTTGAGCTTATAAGCTAAAAAATATAAGTTGGAGGGGAGGTACTTTTTTTTTTTGGCTTATAAGCACTTTGCTTATAAGCTAGTTTGACCAAGTATATTACCACATTATCCTTATTTAATTTTAAAATTCCATAGTGTGCCCTTATTTAATGTAATACATTTTTTAGTAATTTTATAATAAAATATACTTATAAGCCATATTTTACCAAACACGTCAATTACTTATCAGTCACTTATAAGTACTTTAACCAAACACGTAATTGCTTAAAATTTCAAATGCTTATAAGTTAATTTTAGCTTATAAGCAATTGTTGCTTATAAGCTAATTTTCATAAGCTCAGACAAACACCCCCTTAATCATGGCCTTCCGCATTTTTATAGCCGCCAGGCATCGCGAAAGCTGCTATGAAAGTTATTGTTGCGATGAGTGCGGCCACCACCAATTCAGAATCTTTTGATTTCTCAAATCTAGGGAGCTGATCAATTATCCATCTTTCATCTCTAAGAATAATCCCTCGTCCATATTGTCCATCACCATCAAAATTTGACAATTCTTGAATCTCTTTCTGTAATACGTATTTGTTATTATTCAAAGAAAAATAAAAAACAGATCTAACATGAGACTTTAGAGTGTAATTTGGTATATTAAGTACCTATAGTTGAGGAGATCCGTAACGTTTTACATCTATAACAGTATCGTTTTGGTCGTTAATAAATCTATGGTTTGTCATCTTCTTCATGATGATACGAAATATTATTGGACGACAAGCGGCTAGCACGTGAAGAGGAGTGTTTCCTTTGGCATCCTTCCCAATAACAAGATTACGTATAATTTTCTTCAAATTTGAATTTTGTAGCAAACTCTTCAATCCACTAATATTTAACTGAGTCATGGCAAAGTGAAGAACATTCCATCCCTGAACGTTAACCATTTCACGACAATCTAGACACCGGGTAATAATTTCTTTCATTGTGTTTGCATACCCTTCGCCGACTGCCAAATAAAGAGCTGTCATATTTCGTTATTTGTCAGCAACATATGCAAATGACAAATCAGATTTTAAAAGCATTTTTGCAACGGAAAAACTATTATAATGCTGAACTGTAGAAACCCTACTTCATGCCCAACGTTTTGACCAGAGGACTGTAAGCAATTAATGGAGATAAATGGGCTTTGTTTAGACAGAGGAGATATTGAAGAAGAGAAAAAAATAATATATACAACACGCGTTTAGGGACACCTATTATAAAGTGATCGATATTTTCTAAACAAATTGTAGTAAAAATTTGTTTGCATTTATTTTTATTCTTATTTGGGGTAGTGTTCTGAAAACCAGACCAAACCAGTCAGTCGGACTGGTGACCCGCGCCCTCTCCAGTCTGATTTAGATTGTAGGTGTGTTTTTTTATGGATTTTAAACCTATAGGGGAGTTTTTGCTGGAATTCAAACTTGTAGGGACTAATTAAGATGCTGATTGTTGAGTTTATTAAATTTGCGAAGATGGACTTTATATATGGTAACGTAAGTAATTACTTCTGCATTATACGAGACTTCACTATAACACATTGTTGAGAAGGTCAGAATCACAGGTTAGAAAGTAAGAAGTGCTGGGTTCTGAAATTGAAGATTCAAGTGTTAGTTAAAATTACTTAACTAAAATGAAGAAAATGATGTTACTGGTTGAAGAAAAAGAGATAACTTGAAGGGAGCGTTTGGTTCAAAGAATATTGTATTACTGGGAATGTTGTATTAATGGAAAGATAGATTACTTTTAAGATTACTAAGAATGTTTAGGGAAATTTGTTTGGTTATGTTGGAATAAATTGGTAGATATATTATATTGATATGTTTGATTGGAAGAATAAATTGGTGAGTATATTATAAAGATTACTGAATTGCCCTCCTTTTACATATTAATATAATATTATTTTTATTATGATTTTTTAAACTATCTTTTAACCCCCTACATTTAAAATTTTGCTAAAACATCCCAACCATATAAAAGTTTAATTTGTAACAAAATCACCCTCTACAACCCCAAACCCGTGCCAGCTACCACTATCGACTGCCATTGGCAGTTGCTGGAATAGCGTACGACTGACCAGATCTGGCCGGCCGTGTACCGATTTAGCCATTATTGACCAAATTGGTGGCTGTTGTATGCCATGGATCTGGTTGTTAATGGCCATATCTATTCCGACACACGATGCCATGGATCTGGCTGTTAACGGCTAGATCTACAACCATTTGGCTATTTTCGGTCATCGATCTGGCCGTTTCTAGCCATAATGGAGCATGGCTTGCCATATCCGGTTGGTTGTGCACTGTTCTAGCGACAACCACCTGTAGCCGACAGTGGTTGCCAGTGGTCGACAGTGGTTGTCAGCAGTCGACGGTGGTGGTTGGTGGGCAGCAGTGCTCCTGGGTGGCCTATAATTTGTCTTAAATATAAGAGCATTATTGTCTTAAAACTTAATTAATTAGGGGTAAAATTGCAATGGCAGTCAATGTATATTAATTTCAAAATAAGGGCATTGTTGTCCAAAAATTTTAATAGTTAAGGGTAAAATTGTAACAAAATTAAAATTACCAAGTAATCTTAATTATCTAAGAAAATTGAGCATGGAGATAATCAGATTACCACTTATATAACAAATAGTAATTACTATTGGTTTTGGAAGATTACCGAAATTTTATATTACTTAACAACTAAACGTGGTAATCTAAGTAATATAAGATGACATTACCTCAATAATAGGGGCTAGCCCCCAACCAAACGCCCCCAAAGAGTTAACAGAACATCCAAATCCACTAAAGTCTGTTAGTTCTTTAAATCAAAGCGACATCGTTTTAATGTGCTCTTATTTATTAAAACTAGGGGTGGGTGGGTCTGGGTACCCGCCCAAATCCCATGGAACCAGAATTGGAATTAGAACCAACCGGTTCCTGGGATTTAGAACCAGAATTGGAATTGGTCGATTCCAGTTCCTAAAAACTGGAACCAAAACCGGGTACTCAGAAAAACTACAATTACCCACTGCTGTTCACAAAAATGAGAAATGAACCCCAAAAGTTTACAAAAATTACAATTCAATCCCTATTCTTACCCTAGTACCCAGGTCTCGGTTCCGATTTTGGTTCCCAGTTCTAGTTCTGGTTCCTGCAGTGGTGAAACTGGAGCTGTAAAGTCACTACAAGAAAAAATACTTTTTGCAACCAATTTTTTTGCAACTAGGCAAAACTAGTTGCAATTACCCCACATTTAGTAACTAAATTCCAAATAGTCAGCTAAAGGGGAATAAAATTATGGGGTCCATTTATTCTTGCCTTTGGCATCTAAAATTAATATTCTGTGACTAATTTGATTTGTATCCAAAAATATCACATTAGCGACTAATTTATTTGGTTGTCAATTCTTACGCAATAAATTTTCCTAGCATTACAACACAATTGGTAACTACAACAAGAGATTCAGCAACTAAAATTATGGTTATAGAAAACAATTATTTGTAACTACTAAATAGTTACTAAATTAGATGCAAATATTTATGAATTAATTTGTAACTATTTTTATTAGTTACAAAAAATACAATTACCAAAATATCCAAGTTTTTGACAATAATTACAAAGGGCCTAAGGTACATTTGGCAACTAATTGTTTTGTGCATATTACAATAGTTGCATAAACTCATGTATAGCAACTAAAATATATTTACTCATTAAAAGTTGATGAATTTTTTTAAGCCCTACTTTCTCGGTAAAATAAAAAAATAAAATTTTAATTTGTAACTAAAATTACTATCGTGTAACTAATTAGTTAGTTGCAAATTATCTTCTCTTGGTAACTAAGATTTTAGTTGTCAAATGAATGGTAAATTCTGCTATGTTCCCACTTGAAATAAATTAAAATTTTGGGTATGTTATTTTGGCAACTAAAGTTATAGTTGTTAATATGATTTTTTTGCAACCAAAATGTTAGCCACTAGATATTGTTTATTAAAAATAATATATACTACTAGTAACCAAAATCAATTAGTTACAAAAAGTTAAGATATCAAAAATTTGACAGTGGCAACTACAACATTAGTTGCATTTTTTTTTTTTTTTTTTTTTTTTTTGCAACTACTAAAATATTAGTTGCAATTGATGGTTTACAAAACATGAAAGTTACAAATGGTGACTAAAACTGGTTGTTACAAATAACTCATCAAATAAATAAATGCCTATGTTTTTAGAGATAATTACTAAAAGCCCATTCTATATAAATCCAACTTAAAAAGCCAAATACATAATACCCCAATTTCCCAATTCTTACCTGAGTCCTCTTCTTCTCCACGCACTCCTCTGTATCCAATTTCCCTCTTCACTTTACCATCTCCTCTATTCTACTTTTGTCACCTATATTACCCCATTGAAGGTAACTTTTTTTTATTTTATATCAAAACTCATTCTTTTACTGATGGTATTTTGGTTTTATTGTTTGATTTTCAATTCGTTTCTTCACAACATTTGCTTTAATTTGTTTAACCATCTGTTTTTTGTGACGTTCCTCAATTGGTGGTTTTAACTTCGTAATTGGTGATTTTACTTTTATCTTCTCTTTCATCTGACATTGTAATGATTATTATAATTGTAATGGGTGCTTTAAATTCGTTTGTTATTGCTGATAAACGAACGGTGTTTGATAATATCTATTTATTTTCTCAATTGGGTATTTAAGTTTTCTATTTTATGGATATTCGTTCGAGATGGTTTCATATTCATCGATTTCTCCAACTAAGGTTTGCATTTTTATTCACTTTTTTGTTCTTTAGATTTTTGATTTTATTTTCTATACATTTATTTTTGTTTATCTTCTGGGTTTTTCTTTTTAAACTGTTTTGTGGGTTTGTTCTTTCGATCTCTTTTTTATTTAGGCTTTGATTTGAGTGTGATTTAACTCTTTCAGAGCAAGCTTTAATGAGTTTTCTTTGTTTCATATCTCTTTTTTGTAATAATTGTTCCATTTGTAATATATCACTATTAGGAACAACCCCTTCCTTGATAGAATGAGTTGAAAAATTTTCTTACTGTCCTAAAAAAATGTCAAGAATTGTAATTCTTGACTTTTTTAGATGATTTTTGACAATTATTAACTGTTAAGGATTTGATCAAAAATAAATTGGATAAATTTTTTTCTTGATAGTTAAAACTATTGAGGATTAAGTTGACAAAAACAAAAAAAAAAAATTTCGCTAAGACAATATTTCCCACCCATCAAAAGTTTCACTAAGGCCAAATTTTTCCCCCAATTTTCATTAAGGCAAAATTCCCCACCCATTTTTCATTTAAGGCAAATTTTCCCGATTAATACTTTGTCGTACTAACGGTAACCAACGGTAACCTTTGTTAAAATCATACATAATATCTGTATTATGCATATAATATCTATACTATACTTTAAATTAGTACACTAATTAATAAAATCCTTATTACCCATAACATTATCCAATTTTCCCACCCATTTTTCAAAATTTTCCCTTTCTTATTTTTTCATCTTCTTTATTGTTTCACTTCAGCAGCCGGACATCTCTAACATGCTAGGGCTACTTAAAATCACTCTCTAATTAACCGTAACAATGGTGTTCAAGAACAAACTCTTCTTCTCTCCCAAGAAATCCTCCGCCTTCGGTGGATCTGACTCTCCTCGATCCTTCGGATCCAACTCCCCAATCCGATCAATTCTCGAAAACAATTGGGAGAATTGCAAAAATAGCTCGGAGAGAAACAGATGTTTGAAGATTCCGTCTCCAAGATCAATTATCTTCTTCACGATCAATTTCCCTCTGCTTCTCCACCTCTTCGCAATCTGGTTCGTTCGCCTCTTTCTCGTTCGTTTCCTTTTAAATTTAGAGATCGTAATGGGAGAATATTCGTCGATCTAATTAAAATTCTGTTGATTTTGGTGTTCAATTTGATGGTTTTGATTGAATGTTAAGATTTTGGAGTTAGGGAAATTATAGGGAAATTCATTGAGACAGCTCTTCGCTTTTCTTCGAAGCTATTTTGTGAGAACCCTAGTGTCTTAAAACAATGGTGACCGCCAAGAAGAATGTAACTCATCTCCTTCTCTGTCTCTCTTCTTTCTTTTTTATTTTCTTCTTTATTCCTTTTCAGTCTTAATTAAAGAAGAGAAATAAGTTGGTTATGGCTAACTCTTGCAGAAGAAGTCCCATGAGAGCATCAACAGTAGGCTTGCTTGTTTCATGAAGAGTGGCAAGTACACTTTGGGTAACAAAATTGTGCTTCACACCCTTAGAAGCTCCAAAGGTAACCTAACCTATTAACTTTGTTTTTCATTTTATTTCATGTATTGATGATTATATTATCTCTGTATTTTTGAGCTTCTTTTATGAACTGAAATGACTCTTAGCTGTGGACCCAGAAAAAAAGTTGTGTTTTAGTTGTTAGGTTGTGACCCTTTTTTCATGAGAACTTAGAAATTATTGGGTTCTGACTAGATCTAGTCTTTGTTATGGGAATATTTCATTTCTTGTGGATTTGTTAAATGAACCATTTTGTTTTTGTTTTTGTTTTTTATGTTGTAGCAAAGCTGGTTACCATTACCAACAATCGCCCTCCTTGAGGCTGTCTGAGATAGAGTACAATGTGATGTTGGCTAAAGTTGAGGTTCAACACTACAATAGGAGTAAGTTTCTTAATCTTCTTATTGCCTTCTACTCATATGCAAAGTATATTTGTTCTTTGGCTTCCCTTTTACTTTCCTGTTATTTATGGTTGTTTAGGTTTTAAATTCGACATATAAAGTCATGCATAATACTAGTAAACTTTGATTAGAGGGTTGTTCGTTTTCTAATTATGTCCAATTCCTGTTGGCAGCGTGAAAGAAGGATTAGATTTTATTAAAGAGGCTATCATTAGAACAGGGTATGGTGAGAAGATAAAGATAGCTATCGATGTTGTTGGTACTGATTTTTGCAAAGGTGATGAGTTCTTTCCTGCAAATTTACTACACTAGTGGTAGCTTGTAGAGAATAACCGTTTTTTTTTCTCTTAAATAAAAAGTTAAATGACATTATTAGTTTAGAATCCTTTTGTATCACTGTACATGAACTGTTGAAGTATATATTATGGTATGATGTTAAAATGAACATAGAATTTTACATGTTCAACAAGTTTACGTATCAGATATAAAACTAATTGTGTGCTCTGGACCCTCGTCCACATTGTCTACTTGTTCCTACTATTTGTCCAACTTGGGTTTATCTATCAAGGATGCACATTTTTTCATGAATCTGGATTGCTTTTTAACAGCCAATAATCTAATTTTTACTTCATGAATTATTTACAAGTGATATTGGTGCTTATGAGATTTATGCACAAATTCTTATGTTGAGTGGTCATATTGTTGTTCCCAATGGATACATATGCGCTTGCTGATGTTTGAGTCTTAATGTGCAGGTTTTTGAAGAAATTGATCTTGTTCCTATGGAAAGTGCTTCCCTTGCACAAGTTCATGTTGCTCGTACGCATGATGGCAAAAAGTTGCTGTTAAGGTTTTATACACTGTTATTTTTACCTCAAAGTTCATTTAGTATGCTAAGCAAAGTCCAAGTTTCCATGTAAATTATGCACAAATATTGGACTAGAATGTTTCTTAATTGCTTTCTATGTCAAAATTATTTCCTCAATATTCAGGTTCAGTATACTCACATGATCAATACTGCGGCTGCAGATCATGCCACTATGAAGCTGCTTGTGAATACCCTTCATAAATTTTTTCCTTCTTTTGACTATAGGTATGTTTCTGTATGGTTCATGTGCTTGTTAATTATCCCTCCATCTTCCAGTCATTGATAAAGCATTTATTTGCACGAAAAATAACTATAATATTTGGATGCTCCATTTTTTGTATATACCTGGATGGGTCACTCTGTATGCATCTATTAAAATGATTTTCACATTTTCTGAAAGTTAGTGTTAATTGATATTTTTATGACTTACATGTGCAGGTGGTTGCTTGATGAAATGTGTGAAAGTTTACCCAAGGTCAACTACTTGCTTATTGCAAATACTGTTGCTATGTAATTGAACTTCTGTTGCTTAAAAATGAATTTCTGTAGACTTGTTAGAATGAATTGTGCTACTGACTTTTGGTATTGGAAGACCACAGGAAAGGATAGGCCTGTTCACTACAATCGTTAAGGTGTGGTGATGATAAAGACTGGCTTTCCACCGAGGTAAAGCTCCAAAAGGTGACCGAACTGATTGGGTTATGCATTTTTGTTTTTGGTTATGCACACATGATAGTGCAATTTTGGATTTTTATTGCTCATGTTGCTAAAAAATCCATGTATGCTGCAAAGAAGTGGAGAAAGACAGCGGCAAGGGAGAGGACGAAGGCTGTAGCATTGGTTATAACAAAAGCTTGAAAAGCTGCTTTTCTACTTAGGATCGGGGCCTTTTTCACTTTGGTAGCCACCGGGCATTGTTACAGCTGCTGTGAAAGTTACTGTTGCTATGAGTGTAGCAACCACCATTTCAGAATCTTTTGTTTTCTCAAACCTAGGGAGTTGATCAAATATCCAGAATGGATTTTTACTAATAATACCTCGTCGATATGGTCCAGTACCATCAGAACTTGACAATTCTTGGATCTCTTCCTGTAATACATATTGAATATATTACTCAAAGCAATATAAGAAAAGTAAATCAAATTAAGATATTGTAGAAAAATTTAATGTAAAAGTAGTAATGAAATATTAATTATAAATACAAAAACACCATTTTACTAACATGCAAAGCCTGATCAGTTGATATTACATACTTTGTGTTCTAAGGTCATATTGTTTGTGATTGAAATGGAATGAGGATGTGTATTGGGAATGGAAATGTTACGAAGGAATGGAATCCCACTCCATGTTTGCTTGTAATTTGGAGTCTTGATGGAATAAAATAAAATTTGTTGTTTTTGGACCAAAGTACCCCCAATTTATCTTATTTAACAGATACAAATTTTATTTTTTGTTTAAATAAAAAAATTTCAAAATTTTCAAAGTTTGAAAAAAAAAAATTTTAAATTATAAAAAGTTTCAAAATTTGCAAAAAGTTTCAAAATTTGCAAAATTTGCAAAAATTTTCAAAATTTGTTGCTAAATGCTGGTCAAATTAGTCCCCCAACTTAGACGCTAAACGTTCAAGGGTAATTTGGTAAAATTATATAGCGACTAATCAATTAGTTGCAAAATGTACATTTTAGTGTCTAATAATTTATCGCGAATCCCACAAAAATTAGACGCCAAAGGTGTAAGGGTAATTTCGTAAAAGATTTTCGTAACTATTTTATTAGTCGACGAATGAATATTTTTGTGATCAAAATTTAGTGGTTAATTGTAATACTTTTAGACGCTGGATGTAGAATCCAAACGGTTTTTGTCACTATTTTATTAGTAGTCGAATGTATCTTTTGGTGACTAAAATTTAGTAGTTAATTATAGTCATTTTAGACGCTGAATATGGAATTCAATAGGTTTTTGTGACTATTTTATTAGTGGTCGAATGTATTTTTGGTGACCAAAATTTAATGGTTAATTATAGTCATTTTAGACGCTGAATGTGGAATCCAATAAGTTTTCGCGACTATTTTATTAGTGGACGAATGTATCGTTTGATGACTAAAATTTAGTGATTAATTGTAATCATTTTAGACGTTGAATGTGAAATCCAAAAGGTCTTCGCGACTATTTTTTAGATGCTGAATATGGAAGCAATTATACTAAATTACTTTTTGCTACTAAAACATTAGTTGCAGAATGTGTTTTTTTAGAGCATTTCATATTGACCTTCAACGGAATGCAATTATGCTAAATGACTTTTTGCTACTAAAAAATTAGTTGCAGAATGTGTTTTCTTTTAGAGCATTTTGTATTGACCTACATTATACATTCAACATCAACAAAATAATGGACACAATATAAAAATCTGATCACTAAATCAAATATCATATTTTCATACATATATATATATAGTCCATACATGGATTTTTATGCATGATGAGCAATAAAAATTCAAAATGCCTATCACATGTGCATAACCCAAAAGAACAGCATGCACCCACATTTTCCCGACTACCTATCTATTTATGCATAACTAACAAAAAAATGCCCACTCCATGTACACCATCTAACACATATATGCAAACAATCCTAAAAAGATGGTTCTACCCCCATGTCAAAATATCTACTGCCCATACAACAACAAAATAACCATCAATACTGTTAGCATGTCAAGTGTCACCAGTTGCGGTATTTGAAATAGCTATAGCTGATGAGGACGAGTCTTCATCAGTTGGAGATGGCAAGCACTGTGAGTTGGATATCTGCCTCAAAGCTATATAAGAAAATTACCATTAGACTTTCGATACCCTGGCAGTGCTTCATGTGATTTATTGCCTGTTCTGATAGTATATTTTGCGAAGCAGTCACCCTGTGCAGTCACTTCAGGAGTTTGCTTCAAATTCTCCTTATTGAATGAAGAATACAGGCAAGTTTTGCTAGAGGGTTTGGAAGCTCCTTCTTGTTCAACACTTTTAAACACTGTTCTTTTAGTCACTGAGATAGCTTCTAAATTGCCTGAAGGTCTCTTGGAGGAGAAGTTAGGACTAAACTTTACCTCTGCTATTCAATTTCAAACTATTATTATCATCCAAAGCACTAGAATTTCTAAAGTTTTGTGCTGCTGTATTCAAGGAAGGCTGACTTGATACTCTTGCTGCTGCTTTTCAAATTTCTGTAGCACGTCCCTTTTGTTTTCTTCATTGAGTATGCATTCTTCACACATCCAATCTCCTTCAGGAATCTTGTTCAGTTTTTCACGCATGCAATAGCTGAAACAAAGAAAACAAAATATGAGCATTTCACCCTCCCCAATAGATAAAAAAGGAACACCAGTGCTAGTTTAAACTTATAAATAAAAATAATAGGAAGGGAAAAGATTAGCTTCGTAGGACATACATGTGTTCTGCTCCATCACTGCAAGTGCTACAGATAGCAAACAAGTCCTCCCGACCAGCATCTCCACATATATCACAAATTCTTACCTGTTCCCAGGGGCAGCAGAAAATAACCACACAGTTATTGAAATTTAAAAGCATTGCATTTATGAAGGGGAAAATAGTAAACCAAATATATAATGATCATGTATGAAAGTGGAGGGGCTAAATGCATGTTGCCAACCTCCAAGTATCAGACTATGTACAGTTAAATAACCAGAAACAAGAAATCCTAAGTTTCTAAAATTTTCAAAGAAGATTCGGACTTTATTGTTTCGGAACATAATTAGGTTGGTATCCTTAAACTTTCCGTCCAATTTTTAAGGAAGTTCTTTTCTAATCCATCCTACTTATTTATTGGTGGTATTTTCTTCAGTATCCCCAGGTGAAAACCAAGATCACCAGAAGGTTTGTTTTCGAAATTCTACCCCATCAAGCTTCAGTATCCCTGTACCTTAGCTCCTAGTTTTCACTAAAGCTGCATTCCATATATTATCTAAGACTCACACAAATCCAGAGAGCTAAAATCTAGTCTGGTTGTGTCAAATGAATTTCACAGGATAGCTAATTTTTCATTACAATATCTTAAAGACTGATCTTTACTAGGTAATAAGAATCTCCTTTATTTCCCATTTTGCTAGCAGAACAATTAAGACATCATGGCATATGCACAACTTCATTTAATAATGGCAATTTACAGCTTGAATCTCTATTACAGATTACAGTTATGATGATAAATATTACAATAAATACATGCTTATTATACTAACTGTAGTCAATAATCTTAAGTTTATTAGTTTACTTTACATGCTTATTATACTAACTGTAGTCAATAATCTTAAGTTTATTAGTTTACTTAACTAGTGATATGTTATCCTATTATACAAAAATATTCATCAATCCATTGCCATCCAGCCTGATACTCTATTTGGCCACTACGAAAAAGGCAGCAGTTGCAACACAGGAATCCCAACCACAGATCTGGACAACCTCAAGAGGTCACCCCACAGTTAAAAACCACCCAGGTATCAATGTAAAAACTAAATCTTTCGTTTTCATTCCCTGTTAAAGATCTCTTCACTATTTGTTAAACAAAAACACACTGTCTACAATTTCATAACTGTTAAAGTTTTTCCTATGGTCTCTTGTATTTTAAAAATTCCAATAGTTCCACCAAGTGCCATGTCCGAGAAATGTACACCAACTACTATGTTCATTTATTGTAATATCAGGGATAGGAACGGTACTTACTTCAATCTCTGCAGAATCAGATACCTTGTTATGGTCAACAGGCCGTGACTCCGGAGGATCTTTAACCACATCAGATTCATCAACCCCTGCACTAGATTTGAGCATGCTCTAAATAGGTTGCTTGTCTCACTGCTTGTATGATGCCTCCCATTGCATGCATAACATAAAGATGGCGACAGCATATCAACATTACCAGAAGAACCCCGACAAACATCCTTTCTCTTACAGGCATCAGAAAATTCATCAGTGTTTATTCCCATTGGAGATGTCATTTGCTTGGAATGCATACAACATGAACATGGGATGGCACACACGTTACAATTCCTGAGTTGTTCTTTCATATCAATTTCACTGCTTTGGAAATGTCTCTCTCTCTCAACATGTCCTCTTTCAGTGCCACATGATCGCTGCTATGAAAGCGAAAAAAGAAATTATAACCAAAGAAGAAGAAACAGTTATAACTCAATAATTAGTAATTATTACTAAGATGGAAGGTACAAAACTGAACAAGAGATAAATAGCAAGAAGTACAAAGCTGTACTAAAATGAGAAGCATCATCTGATAAAAGGTCATCTAAAAGATTTGGCAACTCAGTTATATAACTAAATTTGGGAATGTTGAAGTTACTCGGAACATGACATCAACTAGAGCTAAATTCTAGCAAGTCAAAATTACTGTTACTAGTTGAATATCCATAATTACACAAAACTCAAAACCAGCTCATCGAGAAACTACCCCTCGCATAAGGAAACACTAATTTTAAATAGAAATCATCAAAAGATGTATCAATGTCATTAAATACATTTTTTTCTAATCAAAGCTAACACCATCAACTCCCTCCAGCAAAAGTAAATTCATAACAGACAACGACTCTACACATCAAAGAGTCCCGCATACCATATGCCAAAACAAATAGTGAAGATTAAATTAGTAAACCAAAGAAAAAAAATCTCACCATAGTCAGCACAGCAAGTCAGCAGAGCAATGCAGTCCGTTTGATCGGTTTCACCCGCAGGCCCTTGTATCTTTGAACTGTCTTTCAGTGCCAGAGCTATCTGTCAATGCAGTCCGTTTGATCGGTTTCACCCACAGGCCCTTGTATCTTTGAACTGTCTTTCAGTGCCAGAGCTATCTGTAAGCAATTTAAATGAACCATTAGAAATTTTTTTAAATCTGCACAACAATGAAAATAACATAATTTGATATGTCATGAGTCGTAAAATTAAAACACTACATGAAAGAATATTTCCATTATCTTCAAAATAGTTTGTTTGAAATGTGTGTATCATCAAATACATAGTACAGGATTAGTGAAAAGAAATATATTTGATTCACATCCCATTAAATGAGACAAAGAACAAAGAGGGAACTGAAAACTGCTCACTAGGCATTCTCAATTTAGGCATTGATACATACAACAACATATTGGCCGTGGCATACTTAAAACATCAACAATAACAAACAACGAAGAGCTATCTACCTCAGTTCACTGAGCAGCTAAATTCATACTAAACAAATCGATCAACACACATAACTGAACCATACATATAAGCTTGACCAGAGAAGAAAAAAAACAACAGAATTGTCCAAATCCTTGAAATAAAAAATAAAAACATTACCCGGAAAGAAAAATTTGCAGACAAACGAATAACAGTTAAAAGAAAAAACCCAAATAAAAAAAAAAACAGAACTTTACTATGTAACCATGCTCAAATGACTGAGGTAATCAAAGAATTGAACACAGAAATGAACTCATAAGTGATAAGAGAAACATGAAAGAAAAAGTACGTACATTGGGGTCCAAAACTTGACCACTATCATCATAAAGCTCCTTCACATTTCTAAGCTTCACTTTTCTCATAATATAGAAATCCCCTCAACGTTAACCCATGAACACAAGCAACATCAAAACAGCTCAAACCCACATAAACAGGGAAAAAAAAAAAAAAAAATAGATGAGAACACAAATAGAAGCACACTACTTAAGAGTTAAGACTCAGTTCGGTTTCTTTTTTTTTTCTTCTCTTCCTTGTGGCTGTGTATGACGGCCATTGTATATGTAAAAACTCTCTGCTTTTGGAAACGTTTTCTTTGCTTTCGTTGTCTCTATTCAGTGTACGAAAATCAATGCAATGTCAATAAACGAAAATACATCAGGTTCTAAAAATTTGAAATCAGATTTAATGTTACCATGGGAGAGAACTAAAGAATAAAAAATTATACTTACGGGAGGTTAGGGACTACCTCGTATTAGATGAATGAAGGAAGCCAAGAAGATCAATTGAAAGATGAAGATGCGTGGAGAAGAGATAAAGTCAGGTTCTGCATTTCGGAAATTCGGGCAACAATGATTAAGATGAAGACGCGTCAGAAGAGATGAAGATGCGTGGGGAAAAGATATGAAATTTGGGTCGTGAGTTTGGAAAATTTGGGGAAAAAGCTAGGGCAAAGATGCGTGGAGAAGAGATAAAATTGACAAAAATGCTTGCTTTATATAGGTTAGGGTATTATGTAAATAACTTAAAAAAATAAAAGTTCTAATTAGTTGTTTAATTTTAAAATATAATTCTATTTTACAAATAAGTCAATTTGTAACTAAAAATTTAGTCAGTGTTAGTTGCCTATAATTTAAGTTTGGGAGAACAAATAATTTGAATATGAATATTTTAACTTAAATTGATAATTAAATCAAATTTAGTTGTTGTATATACTTTGGAGTCTTTGTAATTATTGTCCAAATATAAAATATTTTGGTAATTTTATTGTTCTATAACTAATCATAATAGTTACTAACAAATCCCTAATTATTCGCAACTAATTTAGCTATTAAGGGGTAGTTGTAAAAAATTGTTTTTTGTAACAAAAAATATAGATGCAAAATATAATATTTTAGATGCAAATTATCAAATTTTGGAGGGAAAAATTACTCAGAAAAAATTGCAACTAAATTTATTAATCACTAAAGCAATCGGTTTTGTGACTAATAAAATAGTCGCAAAAAATTAATTTTAGATACCAAATGTTGAAACATGTAAACCCTAAAATTTTAATCCTCTTTGCTCGACTAATGTCAATTTAATTGATAAATATAGTCTTTTTATAACTAATTCTGGTTAGCTGCTAAAAAATTGGTTGCAAAATATCAGTTTCCTTGGAGTGTGTTTTTTTTATGTCAGGGTATTCCCGTGGACGGCAAGCAGCAAGCACATGGAGAGGAGTGTTTCCTTTTGCATCCTTCTTAGTAACAAGATGTCGAACAGGTAACTTAGTCATGGCAAAGTGAAGAACATTCCATCCACGGTCGTCAACCATTTGACAACAATCTGGACACTGGGAAATAATTTCTTCTATTATCTGCATATGCACATAAAATTGTTTCGGCATGAAACATATATGAAGCGGAGATGCATTGCTGACGGCCATATGAAGAGGTGTCATCTTTCTATTTTTATCAGCAGCGTATGCAGCAGATTTATCATATTCTAAAAGTAGTTTTGTAATGCGAAAACTACGATAGTATGCAGCGAAATGAAGTGGAGTCCACCCGTGTTCATTTCTGTTTTTGGTCAAACACTGTTTGTTCTTTAGCAATTCTCTTGTAATACCTGAAACAAATTAAATAACAAAAAATTGAATTAATATACTATATCAAACCCTACTTAAGGCCTTATTACAGCAAACCCCCAAGGACTTGGAGAAATTATAACACACCCATTTCTATTATAACTTTAAAAAAATTCATAACTAAAAACTTAATAAAATAGGCATTTAATAACAATTGATAAATAAAACACAAAAATCTTACACAATTTTTCACAAAATCTAGCCTCATAATAGTTGCTTGAGGTCGGAAATGGTATCTTTATAGGCGCTTGAGGTCGAGAATGACCTCGTGGCAGTCATTGGAGGCCGAGAAAGACCTCACAACAAATATTGAGGCCGAGAATAGCCTTGAGCAGTTGCAGCGGAGGCCGTTTCTGGCCTTGGGCAGCTGTGGGGAGGCTATTTAAGCCTGGTCATAGCCAACTAAGGTCGAGAAAGGCCTCACAAACAAATACTTCTGGCCTTGTACTGTTGTGAGGAGGTCGTTTTCGGCCTTAGGCAGCAGTAGGGAGGTCTTGTTTGACCTCGACCTCATGGTAGTCGATCTGGCCAGATTCGACCTCATCGTAGTTACAAGAGGCCTGGTCCTCAAATAGAAATGGTGGGGAAGAAGAAGAAGGAGGAAGTATGGAGGAAGAAGATGGAGGAGAAAGAAAAAAAAGGAAGAGGGTGAACAAAGGGAAAAAGGAGGAAAAAGATGAACAAATAAATAAAAAATTAGTGTTTTAAATTCTTAAATGGTTGAAGTATCAAAATAATCTTTTCAACTGTTAGTTTTACGGCAAAATTTAAAAAAAAAAATGGGGACTAGATCAAAAATTTTTAAACCATTGGGTTATTTATATTTCACCAAAGCCGTGGGGGTTTGGGGCAATAACGCCAACAACTTTCATAAATCTGGAAATGAACATATTATAAAATTATTCTTTAATCAGTTATAAGATACAGATAAGGGATCACCTTGATGATTGTTCTCGACAGCCACATGCAAAGCAGTCATTCCATGGGGGCCTTCGTGGGCGGCTGACTTGCATCTTCTAATATTTCACGCAATGATAAGAGACATCCTCTCTCGGCAGCAATGAAAAGTGGAGTTTCCCCAAAATTATTAGCAAAATGTGAAAACTCAAAGTCTTCTTTGGTTAAAATTTCCACTACACGAACGTAATCACTCGACACTGCCTCGTGCAAGGCTGAGTTTCCCTCGTTATTGCTCTTCCTGATCATCAGCTGCTTGTATTCTAACCCACTTTCTGTATCTTGAGGTTGAGTTTTTGCGCACTCAATAAGAACTTCCACTATAGTAGAGTATCCATGTCTTGCTGCAACATGTAGGGGTGTATCCCCATTGGCATTAACTTGTAGTAGAAGCGATGGACATTTTTCAAGCATTTCTCTCACGAACGATATTGATTTTCGGGTTTCGGATGACAGGTGAACATGCAAGATTGTATTCTTAATCGGTGTTAATATGAGATCAAGATGTTGATTGTCATCCGTGAAGGGTTGGATATCACCCTTGATTGCAGCCTTGTATAAATCACGATTGAACTCACATTTGCTGCCAAATGAAACGGAATCCATTGGCGAAATGGAGTGTGTTTAGTGAAGCAAATGAAAATTACAAGAGAAGTACCGCAATTTCTTTTTTAAAGCTAAAAGTTTGGTCAACTACGTTAGGCTCAGTCATTAGTTGTGGTAGTTCCACCAAATTTCCTTAATTTTACAAAGTCGACCGTAGACTTATAAAGTCAATTGACTTATTCTCGAATTATTGAACTTGTTGGTTTTTTTTTTTTTTTTTTTTTTTTTAAAACCCTCTAACTCAACTTGAGTGGCAAGTACCTCAATGAAGGTTCTCAGCAGGCTAATTAATCATATTTTATTTTCCATTTCTATAGCTAATTGGCCATTAACATTTTTCAACCAATGAACAAACTCAACGAGAAGTTTCATAGCGTTGAACCAAAAGATTCCCAATACAAAGTCTAATATATTCCCATATTATATATGTATACACTCAGTTTCCTTCGTATTACGAATCAAATTGCTCCACTATACAAAAAAATATTCACTCAAGTTTTTCCCTATTTGATCCTGGATTAATTATTATTATTATTATTACTTTGTCAACACTTTCGTAGGATTTTAACATTCATCTCAATTAACCACCCCTTGTGACATGATGGATTAAAGAATGAATGAGTTAAAAGACCGAAGAGTTTTGGGTTCAAGTTATAACAAGGGCAAGGGATGGTCACTAATTATCATAACCAAAAAAAAAATCATCTCAATTAGGGTATTATTGCTAAGGGATCAAATTAAGGTTTCAAAATTGACCTGAAAAGGCTATCAAATTTCATTTAGTTTGGAAAGTCTCAATTAACAATTTAGTGCCGTTAGACTTGATTATGTCTAAGAGTATTTTCTTCTATGGCATGGGGACGGGGAACATATCACATCCAAAACTCATCACTTTTATCCTCTTCTTAGAATTATCCTTGTAACTTCATTTGTTTGTTCGTGGGGAATCGCTTTCTCAACCAGTCAATGCCTCACTCTCTTTTCCATATACATTTAGTTTCTTTAATAAACCTCTCTGTTTCTTTCACTTTCGTTTAAAATATTCAAAACCGCGTAGTTAACCATTCACTATCACTCATGCATTTTTTTCCACATTCAATCCCCACTACACGACGTTCGACTCTTTTGTGCTTTAGAACATTCCAGAACTTGATTGATTTCATCAGCTACCCAAATCACAATAATCTTCAAAAAAAGCGAGGCTCTCTAGTCCTACTTTGGAGACGTTTGCATCTGATCAAATATCAATGCAAGTCAATCAATGAAGACTTTGAAGAACCTTACAAATATACTGTTGCTACACATTCAACTCGCCCTCACTCCCATCGAGTTGTAATTACATTAACAACTTCCTGGGAAATGACTCTTATTAGCCATTATATGCCTTTGCGACAGCAGTACACTTGTATATTGGAACGGGAAGTGAGGGGCGACTAGATCATCAGTGCAGGTGGCAATCGGTAGGCACACCCTTCTGTTGATGCTTGATGCTTGAAAGATTTTACCCGCGGGAATTGTGAACAATAATAAAAGTATAATAGTTATCACTATTCAACTGTTAACTATTGTTGGGTTAATTTACATAGAACTTAAATAGGTTCAATAATAAATTTAAAAAGTAATATGACCGAAAAATATTTATAGCTAACTGATATCGATAATAGAGGAGAAGCCAATTAACCATTCTTTTAAACGATCAGTCATCTTAGTATGTACACAGCAATACAAGTCCAAAAGATTTCCCCTTATTCTCACAATTGCAAATTCAACTTTTTATTTATTTATTCTTACAACTCATATCAAATATTTATATCATTCATTTGACTATTAATAGTCATTGTTCTTTAATCAATAATTTACGTTCTTGAATGTTACATAATCTATTTATGTTTTAAATTTGATATCTCTTTAGAGAAACGGCATCCAACTCTAATGATTCATCATATTTGTTTGTCAAAATTTTGATTCATTTAAATATAATATTGTATAACAAATGCAATTTAAGGAATTAGATTTAAGATGTCGCTATGACTAGATGCATATATTTTTTTAGTTAAAACATTCTCTCAAATTGTGACGATTTGCTTACAAAAGGTGTTAATCAAGAAGTTTTTTATGTCACTGAAAAAAAAAAAAATATCCTGGGCAAAGAAAAATTATTGGCTGCGCCTTTCATCCTTCATACTTCTTTAAAATTATACACCTCCACAAATCCCTCAAATATGTTACGGTAAAAATCCCGAGGAAGAAGCTCAAGCCGATTAAACAAGTGGCAATGGCAAACCCCAAAGAAGGTGATAATACTGCATATGTGCCTGTAGAAAAGGCAACCACCGCGGCCACTATGGCTAACGAGATGAGAAAACGAGTAAATGCACGATAAAACCATAATCCCGACAAGTTCCGTGCTGCAAAGAAGTGGAGAAAGACAGCGGCGAGGGAGAGGCCGAAGGCTGGAGCATCGGTTATAACAAAAGCTTGAAAAGGTGCTTTTCTACTTAGAAATGCCGTGCCCTGATTAGGGCCTTTTTCACTTTGGTAGCCACCGGGCATTGTTGAAGCTGCTGTGAAAGTTACTGTTGCTATGAGTGTAGCAACCACCAATTCAGAATTTTTTGTTTTCTCAAATCTAGGAAGCCTAACAAATGTCCAGAATGGATTTTTACTGATAATACCTCGTCGATATGGTCTAGTACCATCAGAACGTGACAATTCTTGGATCTCTTCCTGTAATACATATTGAATATTACTCAAATTAAGCAACATAAGAAAAGTAAATCAAATTAATATATTGTAGAAAAACTTGATGTAAAAGTAGTAATGAAATATTAATTATAAATACAAAACACCATTTTACTAACATGCAATGCTTGATCAGTTGATATTACAAACTTTGTGTTCTGTTGATGCTTGATTTTGACACCAACTAAACGCACATGGGAAATGCTGAGCTAGTTCAAAAGACACACGTGTATGGGGGATTGAAATGAGTAAAAGATGGAGAACAATGTTTAAAGTGGTTCAGATGCTTAAACAAGCGAATCCTACGTCCACTGGTATTCTATTAATATATGAGATTAGGTCGCGTTCAGCGAGCTGACTTACAAGTGATTACAAGAGAGAGAGAGAGAGAGAGAGAGAGAGAGAGAGAGCAAACCCCAAAGAAGGTGATAATCCTACGTCCACTGGTATTCTAGCTGATCTCTTATGAGCGTGTAATGAGCAACTCTTGTTCGAAGGGTCCTCGCTCTAACCTTGTCATTGGGCAAGGTCTCATCTCAGAGATACTGAATGATAGGGGTCATCCAGGAAACTGATTCTGCCATATTCACGGCCTGTTCAGTCGAGCCAACACTGGGGGGCCTCTATGAACCGAACAGGAATACTTTTCGGTGCATCTGAGTCCAACGACGAGGCTATCCTTGCCAAAGCATTTGCCACAGAATTGCTATCTCTAGGAATATGTGTGATCGTGAAGTGCTTGAATGGCTCGAACGCGGCCTTAGCTTTCTTCAGATAGCTGATCATATTTTCTTTTTTGGCTTGATATTCTCCCAAAATCTAGTTGACAATCAGCATGGAATCGTTGTGGATGCTGATTGCGATTGATCCCATTTCTTTGGCCAACTACAACCCAGCGAGCAGAGCTTCATACTCAACCTCATTGTTGGTCGCTTTAAACCCAAACCGGAGGATGCCATGAATATGGGTCCTTTCGAGACTTAAGAGGAGAAGGCCTGCCCCGGCCCTCTTTCTGTTCGATGATCCATCGACGTATAGGCTCCAGGTCAACAGATTCTGAATAGTTTCCTAGTTGACTTCGTTGGCTTGTTGCTCAGATTCATTAATCGGGTGATATGAGAATTCTAAAATGAAATAGGCAACAACCCGCCCTTTGATGGTTGCTTTTGGTCTGTATTTCAGATCGAACTGGCTTAGTTCCATGGACCATTTGAGCAATTTACCCGATGCCTCTGGCTTTTGGAGGACCTGCTTGAGCAGGTAATTGGTCATTACATGGATTGAATGGTTGTGGAAGTAAGGTCGCAACTTTCGAAAAGCGATCAGCGGGGCATAAGCTAATCGCTCCATTTCCTGATACCGCATCTCGACATCTAGCAAACACTTTCTCGCTTAATACACTGGCCACTGAACCCTGTTCTCTTCTCGAACTAGCGCTACCCTAACTGCCTACTGAGAGACGGACAGATACAAGAGAAGGATTTCTTGCGGGAGAGGCTTGTACAGAATAGGTCTATTTTTAAGGTGCTCTATAATGCTCTGGAATGCGTGTTTACACTCGGGAGTCTATTTAAACTTCTTATTGGCCTTGAGTATGTTGAAGAATGGCAAGCAACAATCTGTTGCCCTCCATATGAAGTGACTAAGTGCTGCTATTAGCCCATTAAGGCTCTGAACTTGTTTTCGGTTGGTCAGGCTCTTCATATCGAGGAGAGCTTGGATTTTCTCGAGGTTGATCTCTATTCTCACTGGTTAACCATATACCCCAAGAATTTTCCCAAGGAAACTCCGAAGGAACATTTAAGGGGTTGAGCTTCATTTTGTACTTCCGGATGATGTCGAACATCTTAGCGAGATGTGCTATGTGATTTGAAGCGGCATTCGACTTGACTAGCATGTCATCGACATAGATTCCATTGACTTCCCGATCTACTTGGAAAACATTCGGTTAACCAGCCGCTGGTAAGTTGCCCCATCATTTTTCAAGCCAGAGGGCATAACCCTGTAGCAATACAGCCCCCGATCTGTAACAAAAGGAGGTATGCTCTTCGTCCGGCATATACATCAGAATTTGATTGTACCCCGAGTATGCGTCCATAAAACTCAACAGCTCATGCCCAGAGGTGGCATCCACTAGCTGGTCGATCCTTGGCAAGGGAAAGTTGTCTTTTGGGCATGCTTTGTTCAGGTCGGTGAAGTCAACAAAGGTCCACCACGTGCTGTTGGACTTCTTTACTAGAACCGAGTTGGCAACCAAC